CATAAGCACACCCCTTTTCTCAGCTTTTGTATCCTGCACCATCACCTTTTGTTCCCTTCCTTACTTTTTATTTAATTAATAAACCACTTTGATTTTATTTTCAGAAAACATATTTATCATATTCTAAAATACACACACAAATGAAAAAGGACAAACACGGCACGGGTACTTCAAAACCAAACCATGGTCAAACTTTGGTTTCTTCTCAACTTTTGGCCGGCGCTGCTCCACTTCCTTTTTCTTTTTTCTTTTATTATTATTTTCTGAAACTCCTCTCTGGTAAAATAAATAAATAAAATATTAATTTGTAGGAGATTTCAATAAACTAAATAATCTTCAAGTGACTAGTTCCCAAGTATACAACATTTCCATAACTAATTCTACCTTCTCTATCGTTTAAAATGTCTTTCTTCTGTCTACTGTCTGGAAATTGGTGTCGTTGGCTGGCTACAGAACCCACCTTCTATTTGATAATTCTGGTACCCCTTTGGTGGAGGTGGACATGTGTATGAAGACCCACTGTTGATTACCGGTGCTCCCACACTCGGATACCCTGGCAAGGCCCTTGGTGCTTGTTGGTTTGTGTTATACCCATATGCTACTGACCCAGCCGTCTGCATGAATGGTGGCACCGGATACAATGGCACCATGGGGGGCATTGGCGGCAACGGTGGCGGACATGATGGTAGAGGTGGTTGTTGCTCAGCCACCGGGGGAACTTTCACATCATTCTGATCAATCTTGGCTCTCTTTTCAGGAGGATATTCCTTCTCTTTCACTGAATTACTACTTATCACACCCTCGGATGCCAAGGAAGAGAGAACAAATGACAGCATCTCAGCTGAAGAGGTTGATGCAGTGAGCTTTGCAGCCACTGCAGCTGCTGCAGATTTAGTATTCTCCTCGGATTGCTCAGATACAGGAATTTGTCGTGTGTACATTACTGGTGCTGATTGTTCTCCGTAATTGGGCAGCACTTTGGAGGTGTTTGTACCCTGCTCAGGGAGTAACTTGGTAACACCAGGATTTAGCAATTGCCTGCACAAATTATCCGCCTTTTCTGATTGGGTATGTGCAGCCTGAAAATAGGAGACCATCAATGCCCACAACCAAATGGTCAACAATTATAATAACCAATAAGAACAAATTACTGTAACTTCTGGAGTCGAAAACTTGTTTATTATTGAGGTGAAAACCACCTCAAATAGATTACATATAGCTTAATTATGGAAATCATAATGAAGATAAACGCTAAATAGTTGGGAACTATTCTTCTAATCAATGTTGATCATTCTCATCTTGCTATAAGTAGAGTCCAGGTCTTCCACAAGGGTTTAGTTGGAACATCCACTGGCTGATATTCCATATAAATATAGATTGGTTGGATAGATGATGAATGATGAGTGTTCTTTTAGTTCGTTGGTTTGTGTACTAGGGATAATTGTTGAATGTGTGTAACAGTTAATGTTGGTGATGATAAATTTTTTATGCTTTCTGACAGAAACAACGAAGAGTAATTGTGATTATTCTTTTTGTTCATTGGTGTTCATTCATTTATGAGCATGTTCACTTATGTTCATTTATCATCTTAATGAATGAAGACGAACAAGCTTATTTTCTTAACAAATGAACATGAACAAAAAAATTGTTTGTTTATTTGTTCACAGCCGTTCATTTGTTCGGTCAAAGTTGAACACCACTGTTCATGTATGTTCGGTTCATTTACGGCCCTAATTGATAACAACACTCAAACTAGTTGGGGAATTATAGTTTTGCTCATTTATATGAAAATTTGACCCCAGAACACTATTTATCAATAAAATTCCCATGCAAATAAATAAAATCTACCTTAAGTTCATTACGGACTTGATCCAGCTTCATTTCCTGATAAGAAAACAGCATCCATCTTTTAAAAATAAAGAAAAGGACAAAAGAAAGTTAATAAACAGTACAACACACACATGTTTGGGGTTACCAACGAACCTGTTCTTGAAGAGCCTCCCGCAGATGACAAATAAGATTAATTCTTGATGACTCCACAGCTGAAAGTTGCTCAATAAAATCCCTCAATGTAGAATGATGTCCCTTGAAGTCTTCCACATTCACTTGTGCTGATATTTTTTCCCGTTGGGAGGGGAAGACAACAAAAAGACAAATATCCTTTGTTAGTTCTAGCTATTAAACAGGATGAAGGGAAGGAAAGGGGTGTGGAAAGCAACAGATATAAAATTTCAGGAGAGATAAACCGGTTTGTACATGGTGTATGTGACACAGCCCCCACCAAACACGCATGTCTAAACATAGATATAAAAATGCAGGGTTGGGTTCCATTGACAATGGAAATTATGGTGAGAAGGGTGAGAAGGGTAAGGAGAGATCTCCACCCTTGGATCAAATCCTAATTGAAGATCAACACTAATGAGATGCACTGGATCAATTCCCATATCAAGCGCAATTCATGGGGTGGGGGTGAGATTAAAAGTGATCAACGGTCCAGATCCCTTCTTACGCTTATCACCTTTAACTCCTATTCTCACACGATCCTTCGTCTAAAAATGCATTAACATATATATGTAGTTAATAAGGGGGAATAACAGAACACATTTGTTGAGACAGGGAGTAAAAAAAAAAAATCAAAACACATACTCTCTGTTGTAGTTTTAAACAGAAAGAAATTGACAAAAATCTGCCAAGGTGAAAGCAACGGTACAAAACATTAAGAAATATAAATTAATTTAATATATATCAGCACGCTAAACAGTAAACAGTAGTTGAGTTGAATGCCCCACTCTACAATTTTTCATGTATATATGTGACGGGGTGATCCTTACCCAATATGATGTATTTCTCGACTTCGAAGTCACACTTTCTTGGTATTGATAAAAAGCTTATTATGAATAGGTCCTTGCTCTAGATATGGTGACCAATTGACTTCTATGACATCAGGAATTACACCGTCGTTCAGTTGTTTTAAGTTTGGATCCGGTACTAACATGTTGTCCGATTCTAAAACCGATCGCACCATTGTCATCATTGTTATTCTCCAAGTCAAGATATATAGTTTGTTCAGCCTCGAATCCTTTCAAAAGTATACAATTCTTAAGATACATCTATCTATCACATACATAGTTTATATAGATATACTTTAGGATCATTTATACACACACACACAGATAGTGTCATTCCAACCTTGAAATCCACACTACTAAAGCATATGATGTAAACTACTTATTTCATCAAACCAGACATTTTATTATCAGGCTGTTACAAGGTGGCATTTGGGGTCCATCTTCTAGGTGATAATCCCCCCAGGGGGGGGGGGGGTCTCTTGTTAAAGATAAATTAGTAGGCCCAACTTGACAAGGTAATAGGCAAACCATGAAAGATGACAATTACAAATAACACAAGAAACTAAACCGTGAGGGAATATTTGAACTGAACAGAGTAAGAGTTCACATCACCAGCTAAAACTAAATAGAAAAATGCTACAGAATCAAGAATGCTGGTAATCGTGTATATTATTCATAGGAAAATGATATTCATGTATGGAGAAATATACCAGATCTCAAATCACCACCAATTTCCTTCTCCACTTTTTCAATACAGCTAATAGTGTTTTTGCATTTGCTGATCATAGCATCTTCATCTAGTTGACCACCATAAATAATTTGATATCCTGAAACTATCTTGTCCAATGCATTTCCAGCAGAGTGTTGCTGAACAGATAGATTAAGAAGAAAATCGAAGTCTCAAAAATAAAAGAGCACTGCATTTATACAAAAACACAGAGAAAGAGAGGAACATGTGGTACCAATTTTAACCCTGAATGCTTCTCATTTTTGTTACTAGTTTCTAGGTGCCTTCCGGCAAGTTCTTCCTTAAGAATCTGCCCCCGAGAACCAAAAACTTTTCTTTCCTCCCAAATCCTGACCTAAATGTAGTCAAATGAGAATGTGAAAATAGCAAACATAAGCAGCGCCTTCCAAAATCAATATCAAGTTTACATCCAGCTCCAATATTTATAGTAAGTGCACTCACACTTACCAACAAGAAAGCAAAAAAAGAGATGTGGAAGATTCTTGTGGAAAATGGACTGATTATACAGGGCATAGGTTAGGAGATATGATAAACAGTGGAAAGTGTGTGTGTAGATTGCACGTTAGAGAATGATCAAATGAAAGAAATATAATGCTAAATATACATGTTAAGCAGTAACTTCAAATTTATATGGGAATACTTCAGCAAATTTATATGCAAAAATTAATTAAGACGGCTGACTTCCTAATATCTCATTTTATTCACAAATGGATGCATCAAGTTTTTCAGCAGTTTGCATAAAATTTTAAAAATCAATATACATAAAATGGGCTATGATAAGTTATACAATATACACACAAGCACGTACGTATAATCTTTAGTGTGAAATAAGACAGTTCATTTTTTATTGGATTTCCATAATAGAGATGAGAAAAAACCAGTTACAAAGATATAAGATAGAAATTTGTCTTCACAAAAATAGAACAACATTAATAACAAGCAGATAAGTACACGCATTAACATATCTCAATCTAAAACTTTCTTGAACATGAGACTGAAGTTAAACCAGCATACCAGGCGTAATGCAGCATTCCTTCCAGATTCATCTGTATTATCCATCACATTATGGAGTGCATCTGGAAGAACCTTCCAGAATTCACCAACAAACTCTGAACCCTTTCGCCTACTATTCTGCAGTATATCATTTGCAAGATAGAGAAAAGCTAGACGCTGATCACGTGGGGAACAGCGGAATTGCCTAGCCCATGTTTCAACAACTTGTTTTGCCTTGTTCATATGAAAAATACACCAGTGTGACAAGGCTATATCTCATTAAGGATAACCTCACAATTTGATTTCTTTCAGTGCACATTGTCAAATATAAGGCAAACCCTTCTAAACATTCCAAGCTAACAGAACTCTAAAATCGACAATGTAGCAAAGAAGACCAGAATACGCAAAATAAAATATTTCTGTAACCATGAAATTCTTCCATTGGTATTTTTGCCCTTTCTGCAATTCAAGTTGGAGCAAATCATACCCCCTTCCAATTCTTGCCTAGGGATGGGATCCAAGAACTGGAAATCTTCGATGCATAGGAACAAAATTACCATCTCCGGCTTATGTTACTAATTTGTGCCTATACACATTATACTTTCAATATACCCAAACACACAAACACCTGGCAAACACGTAGTCGCACAGATGAAACATGTTATGGCATTTCTATCTACATTGTGTTTATCAGTCTCACACCTATAAACGATAAATTTGAATTAGTTTTGGGTCATGTTCCGGCAGATCTTTTAGTTGTCCTTTTTCTATTGCCTCTACTTTCTAAAGTGGCATCTCATTGAGTTATCGGCAAGGGTCTAAACTGGGTTAATAATTTCATGCTGATTGCAGAGGAAATATTGTTACAGAATTTCCCACCCTAGTGTGGTTAGGAGTGAAGAATCCCCTCCCAGTTTACAGGGGATGTGACTTGTGAGATGGGTAAACTTTAAATGGGAATGAGAATTGTGAACACAATCCCCTGACTGATGATGATTCGCAAGAGCAAAGAAAGTTCAGAAATGAAAGGAAAGAATAGAGCCACATAAACATGAGATTTAACAAGAATAACATTATACCGAGACAAAGTCCTTTGATTTGCATAACAATTATTTGCACGCATGTCTAACCAATCACCATTTATCTCCAGCCTTAAAAGCCATCATTTGGAGTCGCCTATCAGACATAATAACTTGTTACTTGTTCCCCCTGACTTCAGAAAGTCATATTTAAGCTAAAGAAATCACGTCCTTCATAATTATGTCCCCTTTCATCAATTCATGCCTCCATTACATTAGCTTAATAAATGATTTTGGCTTTGCTCACAACTAGCACACACACAACTGCATGTTATCCATGTCTAAACCATATTAAACAACTGTTGCAGATATCAAAATATATTTGCGAGGAAGTCTTATCTAACCAACTACAGAAATCAATTGAAATTTGTAAATTTTCATCGATCGCATCAATTTTACTTGATAAAAAAATCTACCAAAAATTAAACAAAGGGAGCTTTCTGGACGTACACTGGCAAACTAGCATCATTTACTATTAAGCAAATAAAACTTGGTGTTTTTGTGTTCTGAAGTTGGGATTAATTCCAGAAAATTAAACTACTTCTAGTTCATAGGCTGAAAAATAAGCAGAGGAATTTCTAAATGCCTCTTCCCCAGGTCCTCATTTGGCAACCTTCCTAATTACTAGAACACCACTAATTCCCCTCTAACGAAATTTCCCAACAGGCATCTCAAAAGAATTATTTAGCGTTACAAATATTGAGACAAATCATTTAGGTAGGATACTCTCAATGCTCTGCTGTGAACTATTGAGCTTGGCCAGCTTCTCCACCAAAATTTGTGGATTAAACGTACTGCCCATTATTACTAACAGAGCTCCGTCCAGCTGATAACAAGGAAACTTCTGTAAGGCAATAAACCTTGACAATAACAAAATCTCAGATTTAATATTTCAATTTGAATGGAAAAGCACTGAAATAGAACATATAAATGAAGAGAAAAAGAACAATTCAAATAGCCCACGGTTGTCTCGTGGCTGATTGCTTATATCTTCTTGTAGGGTGAATACCGATGTAACTAGTTAAGTTCCTTCAAGGAAACCCTTGAAATCTATATTCAATGTTTTAACCAAAAATCAAATTGAACAAACGGATTACTGCATGTGTTTTTGAACAGAAACGCCAACTGCGTATGATATCAACAGAAGAGATATTGTGGTAGGTATACAAGTTTCCGTTAAGAGTCGATACGACCAACGCACTAAACGAACTCGTGAAAACAAACAAAACCAAAGGAGACGAACAACAATTGTCAAAAAAATTGCCCAAACTGTTTATGATACATCAAAGTAAACCCCTAATTGAAGAGTATAATTTAGTTTAAGAGCTTCAAAATGCGAGGATAGAAGGATGAAGAACCTGATTGAAGTGTGGTAGTGAAGGAGCGTCGAATATACAAGGAAGGAAGAAGGGAGTTTGTATTGTGTGTTTGGAAGACTTGTAGAAGACTGACAACACGAAAAGTTTCTACATACGTACGACTGTATGAGGGGCTTCGGGTCGGGTCAACCTCCCACCGGGAGACAACTCGAAATCGATTTCGTTAACACTTGGCTAATTCAAACTCGATGCCGATATTCGACTCGTGAAATATTGGATACTTTTTTGTAATTAGTTCTAAAACATAATTTATTGTAAAATATATATAACAAATATGTCTTATCCTTTAGATATTTAAACAAAATTTATGTATTTTTTTAATTATAAAAATTAATCAATTATTTTTTTATTATTAAAACCATGATGTAAAAAAAAATATATAGAATCGTTGGTGAAGTTGTTCCGCGTTGAAAAAGAAATAATAAATGTGGGATGAAAATGTGTTATAAAAAATGAAAGAGGGGTGAATGAAGTTTGTAACTTTGTCCTTTTAATGACCAAGTCTTTAGTTTTATAAAATTTAAAAAACACTTACAAGTTTTAAAATTATAAAAGAAGATCCTAAAATTTCATAAATTTCAATAGGTGAGTTTGATTCAAGTTGGTTTAAGCTTCAAAAGAGTTCAAGCTCGAATTCAAGTTAAAAAATTTGTAATCGTGTTCGAGTCGAGTTTAAGTATTTGCAAGTTTTTGAGTCGGGTATGAGTTTGAGAAATGACTATCGAGTTTAAGTCGAGTATATTAATAATTGTGCTCGACTCGCATCATTTACACTCATTATGGCTAGACACGAAGTTTTCAAATAAGAATATCAAATATGATGATAAGATAATAAATACAAGATTAACGGAAGGTTAAAACGTGAATTGTTGAAAATCTAAAAAATATATATTTAAAAATTCATATGTGAACCGACGCTTAAAAATTACTCACATGAGTTCACGTATGTATCTTCAAATGAATTTTTAATGCTATGACTATCCATACAATGCACATGCACATACAGTCACATATGAATTTTATCTTCTTACTTTCTCACGGTATTTAGCTTTTTTATTTGGACGTGTCCTTAAAATAATAAAAATGATATATATATATGTAGGGGTTCATTCAAGTAAGAAACTGATTAGTTTGTAATAACCGTGAAACCTAATTTCAATCACAAACCAATAGATAAAATAGAAGATTTATAATTTTGGTAATTTTGAATTAAAATTTTAATGCAATGACATTTTAGGTATTTTATCTCCTCTCTCCTCTCTCATCTCTCCTTCCTTCGGCCACCATCATCTGGTGATACTACTGTGATACCTAAAAATATTGACTCTGTTAAACAAAAGATACAGTGTGATACCTAAGCATATATAAGATGTATTGTGATATCACTATGTTACATATTCGATCGACCATACAAACGACCTCAATGTGATACCCAATCACATATATGATGCATTGTATTGTGGTATCACCGGAGGACGGTGCCCGGAGAGATGAAGAGGAGAGTTTTAAAATACCAAGAATATCCTTGCATTAAAATTTTAATTCAAAATTACCAAAATTATAAATTTCCTAACTTATCTATTGATTTGTGATTGAGATTGGATCTCACGGTTACCACAAACTAATTAATTCTCATTTGACTAGGCCCCTATATATATAGATAGATAGATAGATATATAGAGAGAGAGAGAGTATATTTCAAATGCAACAATGTTCATTTCTACAACCAATACAACCCAATCAATTGTGATATCTATTGAAATGATGACAGTTCATTTATTATGATTTGAATATTTATGGAAGATGATTAGAGTTTATTAATTATGATTAATATTTTATATTAGGAAACAATCAAAACTTTTATGAAATCACATATTCATCAAATTAAATGGACGTTCGAGATTGAGTTGTACAAATGTGAACGGTTGCATAATAACTCACCTCTCTCTCTATCTATCTATCTATCTATCTATATATATATATATATATATATATATATTTGTACAACCATTTACATTTGTACAACCAATACAACTCAATCTCGACCGTCCATTTAATTTGATGAATATGTGATTTCATAAAAGTTTCGATTGTTTCTTAATATAACCTATTGATCATAATTAATAAACTATAGTTATCTTCCATAAATATTCAAATAATAATAAATGAACTCTCATCATTTTCATAAATATCTCAATTAATTGGGTTGCATTATTGTACAAATGGACATACTTGCATTTAAAATATACCATATATATATATATATATATATATATATATTACTATATGTAAAGGCCTTGGGAATTTTTAAGACAAGATTGCGCCTTAAAATAAATATCTATATTTATATTTTAATTTATCTCAAAATAAGTTTTATCTTTCATAAATTCTATTGGACTTTCTTTTCATCGTAAATATTTATTTTGGAAGAGAGGTAGCACTATACTCGAAAAGGACAACTCTTTGGCAACATATAAGCATTGGCTAGAATATTGATATTTATGTTATCGTTAATTTCCGTACCATGTATGGAGAGAGTTCAACTTTTAGTATTTAATTAATGTGTTCAAATAATTTAGTTTAAATACCTTTTTGATTTTCAAATTGAAATATTAGGATTCGATTTTGTTCCATTCCATTAACCTTTAATAGTACTCTTCCATTAATATAAATGACGTTTAATTGTTAAGTAATTAAACATTTTAATTAAGCTTACACAATTATATTAAAAAAAAAAAAAAAAAAGAAGGATGAAGTGAACAAAGAATTATATTAAAAAAGAAATGGAAATTGGGAATTAAAAAAAGAAGCGGATGATTTTGCACAATTAATTAAAAGAAAAAGAAAAAGAAAAAGAAAAAGAAAAAGAAGAAGAAGAAAAAAGAAATAAAATACATGTTAGCTGCTGCAGGCAATATTAATTATGTTGGTGTTTGGTATTTAATTTTATCATCTCTTCTTGCCTTGCTGAGCTGCATTCCCATCAAACAGCTCTTCGATGCATGTTTCTATATCTTCCGGCTGATATTTTATGTACTTCTCCGTTTGCCTTCCCGGAGTAAACACTTGACTGAACCTCCCCATGAACGACCTATACGCCGGAATTACTATCGCCGATATGGACACCCTCAGTTCTGACTGAAGCTGTTCATCACTCACCACCCATGTGCTTTGTGTTCTATGTATTTCGTCGAACATCGCGTTGAAACTCTTGAATCTCTCCTTCAGCACCGGCTTCATCACCTTCCCGTTCACGCTCAATCCTTCATGACTCAGACACTGCAACAGCTTTGTCCATGTTTCTCTCTTGTAGTTGGTGTGGTAACTCCTCAGATCCGACGACCGTTTCCTCACCCATGGATCTCCCATCAAGCTCCTCATCTCCCCCGTTCCTTTTGTCTTCTGTAATATGTATCGTCCGTTGTTCATCAGGAAAATCAAGCTCAACGACGGATCTTTGTACAGCTTTGATTTTGCTTCCAGGTTTGCATCCAACAGATCCATCACTCTGCCCAATTGCAATTGGAATGACGATCCATGATCCTCATCAACGTTCTGTGTTACCTCTTCAGAACTCGGATCCCAATCCGAACCTGTGGCCGAGTCCGCTCGATCTATGATCTTTTTATGCTCTCTGAATACTTGCTGCAATGTGTCCCTGTACTCGCAGGCTAGTTTCAGATAATTCATGGTGTAGCGAGTTAGAGGATGTACTGCTCCGCCAGGAACCGGCGTTTTGCCTGTATCTGCTTTGATCGAGTTCTCAAGCTCTCCGAAAATGGTGAAAATAGCATCCCCTAGCATGTTATTAATCAACGAGGCAACGGATCTGAGTTGGAGTAACCAGTCATCAGAAAGATATTTCTCCACTTGTGGAATGCTGTCTCTTAATGCCTCGTAAATGTCGAGAAACTTGAACAGTTTCTCAGCGGCTCGCTTCGTCATCATGACGCCTTCCGCAAAAGTGAGAAAGTAAAATAGGACAATTCGTGCTAGGTTACCAAATAAGCTGTCGGAGATTGCGGAGGAGGAGGAGGAGAAGACGGCGTCTACCAGCCTCCGCTCGCTAGGGAGGAGCGAGGTTGTAAAGTCTTTGAACATCTTCGTCCATGCAGAAACCTCTTTCTCTATAGGCTCCCACTGCATCTTCTGCATTTCGTCGATTGAAAACTTTTCAAAGGGTAAAAGCTTCAAGTTGTGTTCGATTGCATTTCTTCGAACAAAGAAATATAATTCGCTACACTCTGTCTGGTGACCTCCTCCTATCAATCCCTTGGCTAATTTCTTGAGATTTGATATCATGTCGTCTGAATATCCTAGAAAATTATCTTTAGAATTATCATCGACGGGTTGATCATCCGGTTGAGGTTGATCATCGGATGGAGACGAGGCTGCTTCATCAAGATTCTTTTGATCTCGATCGTGTGAAGTCTGGTAATCATCGAGAATGGACTTGAATTCGTCCTCCATAAACGACATGGCACGTTGATGAATACCACTGATCTGGTTTATGGCAGCGGCGTAATCGTCTTGAGATTGAAATCTGGAGAGAGAATGGAGAAGCTTGGATGTGCGTTCAACGGAAACTAGAAAAGAAGAGGTTTCATGGAGAGTCCATTTCTTGGTACCTGATTCGTATTGAACGACCTCTTCATCAAAAAGAAGGGAAAAACATTGAACGGATTCCAATATGTGATCAGGCGGATCATGGGAAGAGATGAATCGATCAATCTGTTGGGTGAGAGTATCGTCATGGAGGTGGAGGTTTGATGGATCTTGATCTGCCTCCATGGAAATTAAGGTTTAATTTGTTGGGTGATTGGGAGGAAAATGGAAATGGAAATGAAAATGAAAAGGCAGAATGGAGATGGTGGAGAAGAAGAAGAGCGTAAATGGTGGAGAATGGTTAGAATTTTAATTCCTGTAATTTGTACTCATTAATTCTCTTGTTGCATCATAAAAATAAAATCTCATATAATAATATGATATATTGAAGAAGGAAGTTGGTTTAAAATTAAAATAAATACATAAAAGTAATTAATGAAGCTCACTCTGCTAATGCTGCCTATTGTATATTAAAGTAGATAATGGTTGGGTTAAGTTGGTGGATCACCACCATCCTATGTGCTCCCCACGTCCCTATTTCATTATTTGACACTTGTTATAAAACACATTTTATTTGTTTTACTTATTTTATACAAATATTACACTATTAATCTTTAATTAACATATATATAAATAAAATATATTAAATTCCATCCATTTACATTTAATTTAACTAACACCACTCACTCCCTAACCCTATCCCTATCCTACTTCACTGCCTCCACGTTGTCACAATCGCCACCAACTACCATGTTATTACCGTTACTCATTCACACCACCATGCCATTAGTGTCGCTTGTCATAATCTCCCCCACTTACCTCCAATACCACCCACGCATACCGCTGACACCACCATATCACTACGGTAATAAAGGAGTATTTTGGTCATTTATTTTGATTTCATTCCAATTCAAAAAAGCTACATCTTCTCTTCTCAAACAAACATGAAGATTCCAATTATTTTGAGAATTTCATTCCAATTATTATCAATTGAAGGGTGGTTGAGGCGGAAAGGGATGCGGCTATAGCCTATAGCCACAAGAGAAGCCGTCCGCTTCTGGAATATGGACTTGATTTCTTGCTTTTTTTCTGGGCTGAGATTTACCATTGAAGTGGGCTAGGCTTGGGTCTTTTGCCCTTGTTGTTTCTTGGATGAGACCAAAAACCAACATTTAAATTAAAATGATTTTTTTTTTTCTCTTGTTGGCTGGCAGATACATACAAGTTATAAATAAAAACTTTGTTATTTTCTTTCTACTTTCTCAAACTAAATCCAAATCCATCAAATAATTAAAGTAATATGTGGATATTAAGCATCCTATTAGTATGTAATTTGATATATAATTAAGAAATATCATTTATCACCGAGAAGTGGTGAAGTAAGTTTGTTTATTTTATAAAAAGAAACTATGAATTAAAACATTTTCAAAGTATAAGATTTTGAAATTTATAGAATAAAATCAAATCCATCAAACATTTTGCTGTGTTTATACATAAAAAATGAAAAATGAAATTAGTAAACAGAATACATTTATTTAATAGGATCACGATTTTGCGAAAAACATTGTACAGTACAGATAGATAGATAGCCACCCCACCGACAATTCCAATGTCCAATTCCCAATTCCCAATTCCCAATTCAAGGAGGAGGGTGTATAATGTTTTAGGGGCCCATCTCATCATTTCACAAACCTCCATCCCTCCGCTCCTCGGTGAAGATGCGATTGCTCTTATTTGGTAGATCAAGGAGAAAGCCGGTGTCCCTTCAATGCCTTCTCCTCGCATCTGCAACTTTCACCGCTATCGGCATCTTACTCCTCACTCTCCGTTCCCTCGACGATCCATCAACATCCTACATCCCCCAACGCCACCCTACCCAAACCACCACCAAAGCATGCGCTACTGTTGAAGAGATGGGCGAAGATTTCCGAGGTGGATTTCTCGAGCAGACTTTCCGGGTTAGAAATACCATCCGACGTCACTTCCATCTTAACGGTATCACATTTATACTTCCTTTCATTTCATTGGATTTCATTTCATATACGCAATACGCTACCTTTGAATCTGTAAATTCAACACTTGCTACTTTCTGACATGACGTTATTGTCTCCATAGCATCCACTTCCAATTTTAGAAACATAAAACCTGCTACTTTTGAATTTACATGAATGATATCTATCCGTCTACTGTATTCACTTGTCAAAGTAAAAACCAATCCATTCGAGACTTAAAAGTGAAAAGTATAATTCTATGAATTTTATTGAAAAATTCAACTATCAACGCCAAAACTCATGGAGTTTTGACAAGTGAAAGCTTACCACAAGACCAGGGCCAAAGCTAAGGGCTTCATTAAGTAGCATTGATGGGAATGAATGGTGAGTCGGCTGACAATGTAGCATTATTTGTTGATATTCTCTGATAAAAGAACTCACACATATTGGATGGCCATTAATTTATTAGAGTTTAAAGAATATCACGATTATAGGATGATATTTTATATAGAATATGTTGTTATGAACCATAGTCCTGCTTTGACAAAAAAAAAAAAAAAAGAAAGATAAAAAGTATTAACTTTTGCATTATGCGAAGGTGTACTCTATTCATACCCCCTTTCTATAGGGTAGGGGCTATGTGAGTGAGACGGGTAAGAAATGAGGTGGTATGTGAGTGAGTACTGAGTAGGGGGTATGAATAGCAAACCCCCACGTTTCTCATGGAATGTTTGCAGCATGATCAAATTTTATAAATTCATCCATCCATATGGGTATAATTATACAAGGTGATTGAAATAGAATGTAACCACTAACCTGTATAGTTTTAGTAGATTACTTGATAAACTTGCTTTACCCAAAAGCTTGGTGGTAATGTGATTAGCTTTCTATAATAGGTGCTGCTAGAATCCGAGGTCTCCCTCCAGAGGAGTTCTGCAAACAAAGTTTTGTGATAGCAAAAGCATCAGAGGCAGGTTTTGGAAATGAAATGTACAAGATCTTAACGGCAGCAGCTTTGAGTGTAATGTTGAACCGGTCACTGATAATCGGACAAACCAGGCATATTGGTTCTATCTCAATCCTTGCTATATTTCTTTAGATTCAGATATTATGTTTTTCAGTGCAATATAGAGATTCCACACGACATTATTTGGCCAGGAGGCACAGCACCTTCAATGAATTTATTACCCTCTTATTCGGTTTCATATATAAATGAATCTAGTATCTATTTTATGATGAAAGAATATGCATCATCCAACATGGCAGATAGACCATATAACTATATAGTCTTGACGTAATTGCTAATTTGCAGGGGTAAATATCCTTTTGGGGAGTATATCTCATATACCACTACTGCTTTTTCCCTGAATGAAGTCAAACATCTATGGAGACAAAATGGATGTTTGACCACCTATGGCAGGCATCTGGTTATGAGGATTGATGATTTTCAAAAGCCATCAAAGACAAATGTTCTCTGTAGCAATTGGAGGGAGTGGGAGGAGCCTATTATATGGTAAATTACATCCCATAAGTTGTTACTTGTTTATTAAGTTTGTTGGATCAAAATCTAATCTTAGCATGTTGGCAGGTTCCAGAATACCACTGATGCTGTGGCAGCTCAATTCTTTCTAAAGAATGTTCATTTTGAGATGAGAAAGGCTGCTTCGGAGCTCTTTGGGCAGCCCCAAAGCCATCATAGGCCCAATGTATTTGGGGAGCTAATGAGAATTCTCATATCTCCTACAGAAAAAGTAAAGCAGGCTGTAGATTCAGTCCTTAGTGGAGGGTCAGACCCTGATATTACGTTGCACATGCGGATGCTTATGAACAGGTGTCATGGATGCAGCTTTTAGACACTCTACGACACTAGAAACAATCCTTTTCTTTTTTCCTTTATGTTTGATGTATGAAATCTGGTATTCAGGTCTGTGAGGGCATTGGAGGCAGCATTAGATTGTACAAGAAAAGTCATGCAGAATGCACAGTTAGGTTCCAGACCGCGGTTGGTTTTGGTTTCAGACACACCCTCGTTGGTGGAGGATGTGAAATCAAATTTTGATAGATATGCAGAGGTGATTTTATGGAGTTCCTTATTCATTTTTTGTTACTTCACCAAAAGAGGAGGATATGAAGTCCTCCTGAATTGTGAATTGTACCTTGTAATTTATTTGTGGTTTCTTGCAGGTTGTTCATTTCAACTATGAAAGCTATGAAGGAGAATTATCTGGCCAAAATGGATTACGTAGTTTAGATTTTAGAACAAAGGATTGGGGGCCAGCACCCAGATGGGTTGCATTTGTCGACTTTTTTCTCGCATCACGTGCAAGACATGCGGTTGTTTCTGGGGCCCACAGGCGTGTCGGGACAACCTACGTGCAGTTGATTGCAGCACTGGCGGCTGCAAATTCAGCTGGTATTGTTTTGTCCCTTTTACCTCTTGCTATTTAGAAAAGAAATGGAGTTGTTTCTGTAGCTAATGGATTTGTGATGGGAACTTTTTGTAGGTAACTCGAATTTTTCGTTCTTCAGTAGCTTTCAAAGTAGTCTGATTTCAGAAGGATTGAGCAATCAAGTAGGTTGGGGGCATGTGTGGAACCGATTTGCAGGTCCGTTGAGCTGTGGAAACCAGACGAGTCAATGTGCTTACACACCGTTGCTACCTCCAAGTTGGTGGGATGGTATGTGGCAATCTCCGACTCAGCGAGATATCCACAGGATGGAAGCTTATGGCATTCACTTATCAGGATTTGGTACATTTGATGAAGATCAGCTTCTTTCTTTCTGTACCTCGAGGAAAGAAGTAGGGAAATTTGTTACACTAGTATAAAATATGTTTCCCCTAGTACTAGTTATCAGCAAAGCACCATATATAATTCTTAATATTTATGTTACCTGTTATTATGGCTTTTTGTTCATACATTTGACTTTTGATTGTTATATATTTTACATCTTTTGTACTACTTTAAAGAAGTTGGTGTGAAGTGATTTTTTTTTTGTTAGTTTATTTATTATTGATATTGGAAAAATAAATAACACTGTATTCTTATAAGAATTAAATTATTGTTGTGATGTGAAGTTTTATATAGGTTGTTATTTTATTGAGGTGAAAATAAAATAAAGTGGTAAATAACAACTACTATGGTATATAGTATATAGTATATAGTATATAGTATGTAAATTCGATTCGATAAGGTGTGAAATGAAATGATGGTGGTAAATAAAAGGTTTTAATTTGCTTGAGGTGTTAAATGATAGGGGGTAAGGTAAATAAAAGCAACTTTTAACTCGTTTGATAATAAAAAAACGTAACATCAAATTAATGTCGTTTTCTGAAAGGGGTCCCAGCACAATATGACGTGGCCACTAAGTTCACGCCACGTCGCCTTTTTGACTATCCATCCTGTAAAGATATATATGCACACAGACACAGTCCCCCACTTCAACACTCTCTCGCGCAAAACCCCTTCCTTTTTCCTTTCCCTTTTTTCTTCCCTCTCATGGCTTGTCGGCCAATCAAACCCTGAACTGAACTACCCCCCCTTCTTCTCGTCGGACTCCGACTGTTTTCCATTCTTTCTCTTTGTTAATTTATCTATTTGCTTGTTGGAATTGGTGGAGTATCGTCTTCTCTGCTTTATATGCTTTCTTGTATCTCGAGCACATTTACATTCTAACCTACTACTGAAGAAGATCTCAACTCCAGATTTAAATTCACAAAAGCAAAAGATTCAGAAAAAAAACATGATGTACGTGGTCCCTCCTCCCAAGCGTTCCGATCCTTTGTCTGGATCCACAAACGGGTCGGACAACTTGAGAATTTACCAGACATGGAAAGGCAGCAATGTAAGTATTCTTTTGCTCCATCTCCACGGATCAACCCGTTTTGCTCAAAATGGTTTCATCAATCTCATTAATGGAGACTTGCTTCTTAGTAAATATGTACATATAACAATTTGTTGCAGTCGTCTTCCTTATTATCCTCAACCGTTGTTAATATTCCTACGTGGTACTCTCTTGTCTTTACTCGAGACGAGATGCGACTACCCTAATCGCTTGACTTTTGTTTTTAATAATAAATTCTAGAAAATATTATCATCTATTACCTATTGACTATTGTTTTCGTGTTGCCAAGGTGTTTGATTGAGATTCTTATTCATTTTACTGGCTTTATGGAAATTTGATTGGCGGAGCATATCATAGAAAAATTTAATTTTCAGATGAAATCAAGTGATCATGGATAATAATATTAGTGAGACTCTCTCAATCATTATTCCCAGAAGAAATTATAACAATACCAAATCGATTTAAGAGACAACTAGCTGCCGTATATCCTGTGGGGCAACCTACATAGTCAGGTTGAAATTTTATGGAATGCTGTGAGAATTTTGTTGTCAGTTTTGCTGACTCATTGGAACTTATGTTACATTTGGATGTGCGACATGATTGGACTTATGTGTAGTTAAGCTTTTCGAGACTAATAATCATTTCTGGAGATGGATGGTTGGTGCAGGGCCTCTGTTTATACTTATGTATCTATGTTGCATTGCAGATATTTTTCCTTCAGGGTAGGTTTGTATTTGGACCTGATGTAAGATCACTGGTGCTGACCATATTCCTCGTCGTAGCTCCTGTTTCAGTTTTTTGTGTTTTCGTTGCTAGAAAGTTGATGTATGACTTTGATGACCACTGGGGAGTATCAGTTATGGTTGTGGCTGTTTTATTCACAATTCATGTAAGTTCCTCTGTTGTTCAATACGGTTTCTGAGTTCTTTTTAAGAGTAAGTTTTCCCTTAGTTTTCACAAAACTAATTACTCTGAGATCTTGTTTCTTGGGGTGATCATGATTGCAAAAGCAGTTTTAGTAACTAATTCCCAAGTCTTGCTCGTGCAATACAAACATTTTTACATGACGGTTCTCCTACATAGGGCTGGCTTGCAAAATTCTCTGGGATTATGCAAATGGCTAACCTTTTTGGTGCTTTCTATTAGATACCAACAGTTGCATTATATCTTGACTCATAACATATGCTAATCTTTTTGGGATTTTTAACCTTTTTAATTAAGTTGCCAAGCAGATTATCCGTATGACATCTGTTTAAGCAGGAGAGATAAGAGCACCTTAATTATATAAGAAAGTACCTACAGTAAGAAAGATGTTTAAAAAAGTATGCATTAGTGTATTTGAGTAAATACCTCGTCATTTTGCAGATATGGTATCACCATCCAGTAGTAAACTCGATAGTTGTACATCATTCTCAAAAATATTTCCAACCTTGGATGTTTCCCCCTTGGTAATATTGTGTTTGCCTATAAAACCCTAGTTGGAAACATTTGTCACGCAAGTCTGAGAAGCAAGGGAAAGTAATCCTTTGATGCTAAATTTTTGTGTACTCATACAATTGCCATAGCCATTTATTGAATTTCTGTTAGTTTAATGGGAAAAATGTTGTAAACTAAGAATCCCCAAATTGTAATTAAACCTAATCTAGGTCAAAATAGTTCACAATATCACCACGAACAATGAACAGATGTTTTATATTGATAGTCAATGCGGAATAAGATTGTAATATGCAAAAAATATCAACTAATATTCATATACAATCAGCAATCAAACCCAAGTAATGGAAGTAATGCAAAGGAGAGAGTGACACTGGAGATTTTTATGTGGAACGCACAGAAAGGGAAAAATCACAGACGGAGGATGCTGATAACCGATCCACTGTCACTTTGTTGATGTTACACTTGTGAAATACAACAAAAGTGGTGAAGAGAACTATGTTGTTCGTCTAGGAGAGAAAGCCACAAGTAAGGATGAAGCTACATTGATAAAATCCCTAAAAAAGAAGTCTAAACCCCGTCACTGTGCCTCGTCGCGATATTGACATGCGATTGTGGCAGTGGCATGATGGCAAGGCACGATAGCATGAACAAGAAATGCTCACATCACTTGGATTTAAGGCACATCTTACAAAAATATACGAAGACATTGTTGAATCAAGAAATGTGATAAAAGATCTTCATTTTGTTGGTTTCTTATTAGATATGGTTTAGAATATCTAACTACTAGTTCATTGATAGAAGCTAATTTATTGCCATGAGTATGATTATTGACAGCTAGTTTCTTGCCACGAGTATGATTATTGACAGATAGAAGGAATAGAGACCAACATATGGCGAAGGAAGCACGAAAAAAGTAAGGAAGCAAAAGTAATGAGTAATACAACACATATGGAGCAAGTAAGGCCAAAAGACACATCCCTAACCTAAAATGCCAGCCCTCTACCTCCAAGTTCTCCAACTCCTCCCTCCCGCCCAACTATGCTAGCTATAAGTCCCCATAACCTAGTCCACTGTTCTAGTCCTCTGTCTCAAATCCAACCACTACTATCAGATGTCATGTCCTTGGTGATGTCTAAGGCCGTCATGTCCAACCTCAATTGTTCATCCCACCTTCTCCTCATCCCCTCGATAAAAACCCAAATCCAATTTTTATTTATCTTCTCAGTAATATTACTTCTCTGGGTGAAATAGAACAGAAGCAATGGCCCAAAGGTAGCTGAAGATGGATGTACATGTGTGGTTGAGAGGAAAATGAAGCAGATGAAATAAAATCTCAGTTAACAGGGTAATTAGTCAAAATTGAAGGGCTTCTGTTGTAAAACTGCTTGGAGAATACTTTCGGTTTTTCGGCCCTTGGTGCTCAATATTTCTTCACATGTCAACAGATTCACTATTATGTCAGTTTGCCCAATTAAGGGAAATCAAACACCCTTTTCATCTCCGTCATTTTGCATATGCTGTTGTGAATTTGGTAGATTTACCACTGAAATACCGTAAAGTTAATCCTTCATGAATAGCATTGTGCCACCTCGCCATCGCCAATTTTTATGTGAATAGTTAGATTGCTTGAATTCACGTTGCAAATCTTCATCATGAACAACATCAAATCAGGAGTTTCTTAGTGTTACTGCATTCTATCATTCATCACTTGCAAAGTTATTTTGTAAGCCATGACTAGTCTGTTTATTGCAGCTTATTATGTAGGTCACTATCAACTCAATCATGTAATTTTTATCCGTAATTTGTATTGAAATACTTTATTTGGTGATGCAAGTTTCATCAATTCCTTCTTTATATCAATCTTGAATATTTGAACATGAATGTCCCAGGTTTTAGTGCTTCTTCTTTTAACCTCCGGGAGGGATCCTGGTATCATTCCTCGCAATGCACATCCTCCAGAACCAGAAGGTTTTGATGGAAATACCGAAGGTAGCGCCCAAACCCCACAATTACGGCTGCCTCGTATTAAGGAAGTTGAAGTTAATGGTGCAATTGTGAAGATCAAATATTGTGATACCTGCATGCTTTATAGACCGCCTCGCTGCTCACACTGTTCTATCTGCAACAATTGTGTTGAGCGATTTGATCACCATTGCCCTTGGGTTGGGCAGTGTATAGGTCTGGTAAGATTGCATTCTGTCTCCAACCTACCTTTAGCCCTTGGTTGCATCTGAAGGAGAGCAATTCGTTACTGAGCATCTATTTCATTTGTTAATTTGATACTGTATGCCTCTAAACAAAAAAACTTGGCCTAGGGTTTTGGTTTTAGTATTAGCAATTTGTCCTTCTGTTTTTCTAGCTTTGTACAAAGCATTGCTATGCTCTTACAGCACAATTAATGCATTTTTATGATTGTTCTATTCATGCTCTATCATTGTGAATTGTTTGCATCTTAAAGTAGCTCATTTCAAGCTTCCTATCATTAACCTGGAGGAGCTGATGTTCTTATCCTGGCATCTCAATGCACTCTTTGAGAGTGTTGTAAGAATCTGAAATCTGGCATGATATGAGTAGGAAGATCTTGTTTTGTCCTAGAATTTAGGGATTCAAGCATGTTCTTAATCAAATCACAAGTACTACATGTTAAAATTATTTTAGTTAAGAATGAACCATGTCAGTTGGTTAAAAAAATAAATCAGAACGTGTCTCTAATTTATGAGCGCAGATAATACAACTTTGTGATATTTCAACTTAGAATCGGTGCGAATTGTTGCTTCAGATGTTTTAACTAGTGGCCAATGCTCCACTCATCTTTTCATTTTCGGGTGGCTTACACCTTTTCATGTGCTGAAGATCTGGTTTATCTGATATTTTAACTATTTCTGGTTGCAGAGAAATTATCGGTTCTTTTTCATGTTTGTCTTCTCCACGACTCTACTATGTATATATGTTTTTAGTTTCTGCTGGATCTACGTAAAGAGGATCATGGATTCGGAGGACATAACATTATGGAAAGCAATGATCAAGACTCCTGCATCGATTGTGTTAATTGTCTACACGTTCATATCAGTGTGGTTTGTGGGTGGCCTCACTGCCTTTCATTTATATCTCATCAGTACTAATCAGGTGATGGGCACTAGTTTTTTTTTTTTTTTTTTGGCTTATGAGAAGAAATTTAAATATATTTGAGGATGTTGGTCTTGATTTTGATTAGATGTAGCTAAAGACGGGTGTTGTTTGTATTTGCAGACTACATACGAGAACTTTAGATATCGGTATGACAGGCGAGCAAATCCATATAACAAAGGATTGGTAGAGAATTTTGGGGAGATATTTTGCACTAGCATCCCTGCATCAAAGAACAGATTTAGGGGGTACATGCCAAGAGAAGCAGGAGGGATTGGGGGTCGATCAGGATCGGTTGGTGGCGGTTTTGTGAGTCCAAACATGGGGAAGGCTGTGGAGGACATTGAAATGGGAAGGAAGGCGGTGTGGGGTGGTGGGATAGAAGGACAAGCGAGTGACAATGAAGGGGGAAACATGAAAGAAGTGGGAATGGGTGAATTGTCACCGGAGATAAGAACAACGGTGGATGAAGGGGATCGTGCGAACATCATACATGCAAGGCGGTCTAGTTGGGGAAGGAAAAGCGGGAGTTGGGAGATGTCACCTGAAGTAGTTGCTTTAGCATCGAGAGTGGGGGGTGGAGGTGGTAGTAGTAGTGGTGGGGCAGCAGTGAGCTCTCGGCCTCCAGAAGCGAAGTCGTGAGAGGTTGGGTTGGAGGGTTGGGTGTGGGTGTGGTTTTGTAAGACTGTTTTGTTGTGGGTGGTATTATTGAGCGTGTATGTGGACTGTTTGCTCTTAGCTTGTACATTATTTATTCTACCCTAAAAAACTCGTGGTTGAATTGAATTAATTGCTTATTCTTATGAGAGAGACACACACACTGACGACACGACGACGACTACGACGACTACTACTACTAGTAGTAGGAGTAGGAGTAGGAGATGTGAAGAAAGTTTGTTTGGGTGCTTGAAATTGGTTATTTGTAAAGCAGGAGATGCTCATGTCATGTGGTTGATTTCATTATTGATAATAAGGTTAGCAGATGGTCCTTGTTTGTTGTTCGAAAGATTGCAAAAATGTCTTTGAACAAAACCATTAAAAAAAGTGGTGAGAGAGTGTAATAAAATTAAAAACAACAAGACATGAGAGAAATGTGAAAGCTGATAATAATAACAATAAGAAGGGAGAGATGGAGAAAAAATGGGTATAAAAAGTATGGCAATTGGGGTGGATCCAGATCAGCATGGCGTGTCTGTCAGTGGCAATTTTGATAAGGCTTGGCCTGCCACCGTGTATGCATTATTCAGAGTTTCATCCCTTGACAATAAATAAATAAATAAAAAGGAGCAGGGGACATATTTTCTATAAATTATACAACTGAAGATTTCAATTCATATATATATATATATGATTGATAATGGAAGGAAATGGAGCAAGTTGATAATATTATTTCCAATCATATTACATATTATATAGAAAACAAACAAATATGAAATATTAAATAAATATTTGTAACAAGTAATTTTGTTTGTTGTGTGAGAAAGGAAAAGGAAAAGAGAAAGGGAATATTCGAGGAGGTGATGATATCCGTCCTAGTCACCGCCACCTCCCCCCTTCCTTCCTTTAAATACCCTCCCCTCCCCTCCCCTCCCCTCCCCAGAATATGCATATAATATAATATCTTTCTTTTTATTTATGAAAATGGCGGTTGTTCATCTCCCCCCTTCCTTCTCTCTTTACGCCACTCCTCTCCCTACCTCCGGTATTCTCTTCTTTCTTTCTTTCTTTCTCCCTTCTTCTATATTCATGATCTTCATTTAATTTGTATGTATTAATTAATCTTACTTTGTGTTTATATATATGTATGTATTCAACTTAGCAGCAGCAGCAGGAGAAGGAGGATTGGATGATGGGAACAGGAAATTCATGGTGGTGGGACACAGAGGTCATGGCATGAACCTCTTACACTCCACCGATACCAGAATGAAAGCCTATAAAGAGAACTCCATTCTTTCCTTCAACAACGCTGCCAATCACCCTTTGGATTTCATTGAGTTTGACGTTCAGGTCTTTTCTTTTTCCTTTCTCCTTTCTCCTTTCTCCTTTCTCCTTTCTTTTATATATATATATCATCACTTCATTCCAATCATTTACTATTTATTTATATATTTACTTACTTTCAACTTGTATTCATTCATTAATTGTAGGTGACCAAAGATGACATCCCCATCATCTTCCACGACAATTTCATCCTCTCTCAACACAATGCAACTCTTCATTACCTTCCTTTTAACCTTAGTTACTTATTTAACATACATACATACATACATCTTAATTAATTATACTATCTATATATAATTAATTTCAGGGTATTCTAGTTGAAAAGAGGGTGACTGATTTGACGCTTCAAGAATTCTTTAGCTATGGTCCTCAACGACAAGTAGGAGAGGTGGGGAAATCTTTGCTCCGGAGAACAAATGGAAATATAGTTGGGTGGGATGTCCAAGCAGATGATCATTCTTGTACCTTACAAGAAGCTTTCCAAAAAGTAAACCCTTGTTTGGGGTTCAACATTGAGTTGAAGTTTGATGATTATATCGTATATCAGCAACACCATCTCACCCATCTTCTTCAACTCATCTTCAAAGTCGTGTCTCAAAATGCCCAACAAAGGCCTGTCATTTTTTCAACCTTCCAGCCTGATGCAGCCTTGCTTATGAAGAAGCTTCAGCATATATACCCTGTCAGTATATTCATTACATATCTTTCATTCATTTCTACTTCTACTTCTACCTAGGAATTCTTTAATTGAAAATGAATTGCCACAGGTTTACTTTTTGACAAATGGAGGAACCCAGGTTTTTGATGATGTGCGAATGAATTCTTTGGAAGAAGCCAAGAAGGTGGCCATACAGGGTGGATTGGATGGAATAGTTTCAGAAGTAATGGGTGTTTTTGGAAACCCGATGGTTGTTAGAGATATTAAAGACTCCAAACTATCTCTCCTTACTTATGGGAAATTGAAGTAAGTTAATTAATTAGTTATATATGCATGCTTTTATTAATAAACAATATATATGTATGTGTATTTGAACACATTCATTCATGCATGCATGCAGCAATGTTCCAGAAGCTGTGCAAGTTCAATATCTTATGGGGGTTGAAGGTGTGATTGTTGATTTGGTACAAGAGATTACAGATGCAGTTGCAGATATGAAGGCCAAAAACACAGATTTAGAGAAGATCGAGTTGTCATTTCTGCTTACATTCATTTCACAACTCATTCAACATTAATTAATTAAACACGTCTTGGTTGATTCATTTAATTTAATTTAATTAATGGATGGATGGATGGATGTTGGGTTCATAAAAAAATTATTAATCTTTTAACTCTATACCTCTACCTATGTGCATTGTGCCTTGTATTTTTATTTGAGTTTGGTAGAATTTTAAGTTGTATTTCTTGATTTCTTTCCCAGAAAAAGAGTCCAAGGAAATATGTAAATCTTGAATTACAAGTTAAGTTTTATTTTTCTTATTCCTTTAAATTCTTAAATATTGTTTTAAGGTTACATTATTTAAATATCCTATCGTACATGTATAAAACCATATTTGAGTGACAAGTTTGAAACTAGTGGATTCAAGAATGCACTTGTTATATCACATTGTTATATCACATTATACAAGGTTCATGTCACCTCTACTTTTTTTGTATAAGAGCATCTCCAATGGAGGTTAATGAGGAGGTTAATGGGAGCCATTATATGCATCATGCATTGTGAAGGGAGGTTAATGGCCATTGTATGCATCATGGGGAGGTCAATGGGACCCACTAATTTATTTTTTCTTTTATAATTAAATTTGTAAGGATTTAATTATGATATTATATACATATATACACACTATAATATGATATTTATTAATCAATAAATTAATTTTTAATTTTATTTTTCTTAATTTATAAAAACAACATAATTAATAAAACATTACATTAATTTCAAAATACATTACATTAATAAGATATTACATTAATTTTATTAAATGTATTTTAATTTCGTTTCATTTTCATTTTAATGTATTATTCCTTGTTTTTAGTAGATTTTTAAATTTGTTGGTGAAATTATATTTATAGATAATATATATATATATACATACATATATATATATATATATATGATGTGGAAATCCATTAAACTCATTGGAGTATTATGGAGTGTGGGTATAAAATGATAAAGTTGTATGGTGAGTGGAATGCTGATGTGGCAGTCCATGACACTCTGGTAGAGTATCATCCATTGGAGATGCCCTAAGTTATATACAAATTATAACTTATGTTTATTTTGTTTTATAGATAATAAATATGTGTTAAATGATTTTTGAAAAAGATATTAATTAATTAGGACATGTTTTATTCATATTATCTACACTAATTATTTAAAATCATAAATTGAATCTATATTTTGTTTTAACAAATTTAGAATTTATAAAAAATACATAATTAAATAATTAACTATAAGAACATAAAGTGTGTAGTTTAATTTAGATATTAAAAATGATTTTGATTTTAAATATGAAGATGGGTTGGGGGATGAAGTTGCGGAGGGGAATAGGATTATAGGAATTTGGCTTTATAACTTGTATATTAACCTTTAAAACGTCTGTCTTTTAGAATTTTCAAGAAAACTACAATTTGTCTTTTTTAATTTCTTAAAATTTTCAAAAAAACATCACTCGTATTTTCTTAAAACTAGAAAGGTATTCGTACAATGCAACGAAATACATATCGATCTTAATATTCCGTTTATTCTTATATCTATCGATGTCAAAATACGATTTTATTTGGTTTTAAGAAAGCGATAATATTTTCATTTTTAAATAAAAATATAAATCTGAATATATCATAAATTTTTTTAAAAAAATAACATAATATAATTTTTTTTAAGTTTAATATAACGAAACAATTTATTTTTGGTATAATAATATTTTTTTTATAAAGCTAATACCTAAGTATTTTGTTAGAACTCAATGATTATCCTAATTATATTTCAGATTTTTTTATAATTAAAATGAAATACTTATCATGTATTTAATTATGTTTATCTACAGTTAATTACACGAATTCAAATATAAAGTTTTAATAAGTTGTAGTCACGTATAATTTATTTGTAATCTTGAATTTTAAGTAATATATATCAATAAATAATATTTTATGTATAAAAAATAATTTTTAAAGGATTTTATCAAATGTATTTTTAGATTATAAATTAAATATCACACATTACTTTTTATTGCAATTTATCATTTAAAAAAAACTAAGTGGTGAAATGAAATGTTTGTGATTATGAAGTTAAGTTGAAGCTGAAGCTGAAACTGAAACTGAAACATGGTCAAACTTTGAACCCACAAATTATTAACCAACGGCGACTTCCTTTACCAAAATCCATCGACGCCGACAACCCCCTCCTCTTCTCTCTCGCCGATCCTTTTTCTCTGCAATTCCATACACGTTTCGTCTCTCTGCTCTGCTCTGCTCTGCTCTGTACATACATATATATTTATTATTCTTTAAATGAAGTCGTCACTGGAGAAGTTTGGCCGCAGACTATCGTTGCACAAGAGCGACGGGAAGGAGAAGAAGGATCATCAGCCTTCCGCCCATTTAGATGAGCTTGCTCAGGCTTCCAAGGTAGTGCCTTTTTCTTTCTTAACCTTCACTTTTCCAGTCTCAATCAAGGGTATTAGGGTTTTACGTTAATGACATCTCTATTTCGTCTTTCATTCTCAAGTATAACCGTGCAATGTGCTTTCTACTGTTTTACAATAACCCCCCTCCCCTCTTTACAAATATACACCAAAAAGCTAGACTTCAGGAGTTAACAAGGGTCCAATCTAGTTTAAAATGACCCATCAATAGACTATGATTGCGGATAGGAAAAGCACCGGAAAGTTAAAAGGTTTTCGGATGATTCAAGGTCACTGCTTTGACATGGCATGTTGCAAACCAAATGTTTTAAGTTGCCATGGATGACTCAGAAGCAATGCTGCTAGGAACCACCATTATGAGAAGTTGCTTCATGTTCTCTTGTTTTTCCTTCTTTAGAACCTCATTTTGGTTCTACGATTATGTTTTTTTTTTCTGGCTTTACAGGATATGCAAGATATGAGAAACTGCTATGATGGCTTACTATCTGCAGCTGCTGCAACGGCAAATAGTATTTATGGTAATTGTATGGCTTGGTTTGTCTAAAAATGCCCTATTTTGCTGCATCAAAGTTGGTATCAATCAAAGTGAAATAGAGGTCTTAGGAATTATTGACATTAACCTGCAATCGTCCTTCTAGAATGTGATGCAGTTGGGGACAGTAACTGGTTGATTGACTTTTGATTTGGAAGTTATTCAGAATGCTTATGGTAACAGCATATTGTAGGCTGTTTTCTTCCAAGCTGGCTAGTAGTAATTAAACCGTACTTGCACTATCAGGCCTTGCTTAGATGTTCCTATTGTTGTTGTGGAAGCTTGACTGAAAAAACAACTTCTCATAATGGTGCTGCCTCTATAAAATTGTTAAATCTTTCAGAAATACAATTTACTTACTCTGCACTCATATAAAAATGTTATTTATCTATGTTTGCTACACTCATTCGGCTCGAAGCATCCTACATTGGATGGTTTCTTGTTAATTATGTTGACCTGATACATACAACTGCATTTCCCATGTTGGGTGATGATCTTTCATGAAGTTTTGGTCTCATATGAATAATAATCAATTACTTGTATTCTCTTTTTTTGGATATGCAACTGAAGAAATCTCATGAATATTTGTTTCTCAGAATTTTCGGAGTCTCTAAAGGAAATGGGGAACTGTTTGCTGGGGAAAACTGCTGCGGACACTGATCGTGAAAGTGGTATTAGAATTGTTTGTCAAACCCTGCTTAGATGTTCTCAGAATTGCTTGCTCTGTTTAGTCACTTTAATATGAGCTGATGACATGGTTGAGACCTGAATTCAGAGCAGATGATGGTATTTGTTAATCATGTCTACAAAAACCAGTCCAATGACAAGGAGAAAATATAAATTTTCATATGTAGAAAGTGCATGTTGAAATCTGTTGAATCTCAGATGTGCATGAGTCTGTAATTTGTACATGTAACTATGATTTTGTTCTTCAGAGTTGATGTTTGACATCTGCCTTGAGTTTTTTGAAAAAAAGGAGCATCTGGGGCTGGTTCAGAGAAGTCTAGAAGCAATTCAAGATAGCCTTTGGGTCCTGTAAGTAACCCGGACACAAGCCTGGTTGGCAGGGGGAAAGCTGCTAAATTGGAGGCTTCAAGTTGTAGTAGTATTATAACTTAAGTGATAGATACATAACTAAGGCTGTAAACTATTAGGTGAATTTGTAATATTTTGATTCTGAACAAAAGGAGGAAACCACTTGATGATAAAATGGGTCAGCAACAGTCTAATGAACATATGCTTTGTGATATGCCAGTTTAGTAATCAACCACAGAACTATGTAGAAATCAAGCAACTGGGTATGGTCTGCATAACTACCATCTGTTCTGTTCCCACTATGATATTCTCCCAGACTCCCACAACCACCATTATTTTGTTTTTATTTGTCTATGCACAGATGGTAACTCATGCACATTTCTTCTCAACTGCTTTTTGATACTCAGTAATTACATTTTGGCCTTTTTACAATATTTGATTGTGAACTTCGTTGAGACATTTCCATTCAATGCAGGAAAAGTCCTATCAACTTTGGGGAATATGCAATTGGACCTTCAGAAAATTGCAGATACTTATGTAAGTGTTCTTTTTCGTAGTGTAGCTGCATAAGTTGACCTGTTAAAGAGCAGTGACTCATTTCTTTCTCAATGTCAGCGTTCTTCTGTAGTTGTGACGATTACTAACCCATCGGAGTCTCTCCTCAGTGAGCTACGGAAAGTGGAGGTTTGTCTTTTTGGTGACCTATACCCTTGTAGTTAACTTATGTTATCTGTTTATCTTCATCACTTTAGCAATATCTTTAGGCTGTTAATTATTCTAGTGTTTTGGTAGTACTCTTGTGGATTTTTCATGGTTCTGATCATGTACAATACATGTGACTGAGGATGCAATCTCTATAAACTACTTTCATGGTTTAGAACAGGTTTTGACAGAAATAGCCGCTCTACTCTTTTGAGTAGAGGCCAGGTCTGCATACATCTTACCCCTCCCAGATCCCACCTGCGGGTGGGACATACTTTGTTTGTTTGATTTTTGGTCTAGAACAGGTTCTCAACCACACTTTTCTAGACAGAGTTGATAACTATGAGTGGATGATGAAAATTGTTATAATGTTGCTGCTGGAGGTTAACCTAATATATGATAACATTGTCCATTCATCTAAATCTTTTTAAATGTATGTAGCCTGGTGAAACGTTTCAGGGTTAGCGAGGGCCTGTTACCCGGAATGTTTATGTAGCTGAACAAACTTCCAGGGTCATATACCTGAACACAGAACAACAGTTTATACCAAATGAATCTCCGTGCCCAACAATTAGAAACCCCTACGTTTGCACGTAAATGCATAGAGGTTGATTGTCTTAACCGTTGCCAAATCTGTGGTCAAGTAGGACCTTCTTTTGGTATGAATTGGAGAAATGTAATCTCTTTGTCCAACCATTAGAAATAGTTTATGGCCAAGGAACAAAGGTATGTGAGACTGTCAAACCAGACACGCTGGTTACTTTGTATATGCATATGCACTAAGGGCTGTCTTCAACTATGAACTAAAAGCTGATTTTTCTCAAAAGGAATGGAAATAGCTTTTTTGGAGGAACTTTTCTGGTCGTATAGATATTATCATGAAACTGATTGTGAAGTTTTTGCATAAAAGCTGACTCAATGGTGAATCTTTTTTCACGGCTGTCTCAAAGCTCATAATATAGCGGGTTGGATATCCAGGTTAATCAAAAAAAAATCTCATAACATAGTGGGCTTGGAGTTACCCTGGTTATCGAACATCCCCTGTTACTTCCGCCCTCGCATGATTCTGTCAAAATACAAATGTTAACATCCATACTAAGTTATTTCTTTTGCCAATTTCAAATTTCATCCAAGGTTAGTTGTTTCCTATTAAAAATGAGCGACATATTACTGCTCAGAAATCTCAAAGCAATGGCAGTGAGGTCAAGTGCTCAACCGTGTGGCAGTAACACCTCTGTCCTTCAGAGGAATGAAACAAAATATGGAGAGTGCTTGACAATTATCTTTGTAATACTCATTCTGTATTAAGGCTTTCTTCCTTTTGCTACTAAGATACAAAACCTTCACCCTTTTCATTTCTTGTATGATCTGAATTGGCATGAAACTCTTCCTCCACCTCACTTTCCTCCCGTACTTGTGTCCTTAGTTTGTGTAGCCAACAAGGCGTTGATGTAACTTTTATGTGTATTTGCATAACCATGAGACTATTCTTGTATAATCATCATTTAGCAATGTAGTATGGACACTTATCTTGCTTCTCTGATACTGGTGCAGGAGATGAAACTTCAATGTGATGAAAAGAGGTAGATTTTTTTTGTTCTATTGTAAACCTGGTCATTGAAGTAAAGCTTTATGACTGAGTGCAAATTTCCAGAGAGGCGTTTGAATACATGATGACACAACACAGAGAAAAGGGACAATTGAGAACTGGAAAAGTTGAAAGTTCTATTGCACAAAAACTAAAAGAAGCTCAAGACGAATATGATGAAGTGACTAGACTGTGTGTATTTCGGGTAAAATCACTGAAGGAGGGACAATGTCGCAGTCTTTTAACACAAGCTGCTCGCCATCATGCCGCACAGGTTATATCTTTTTACCCATAATGACCAGTTTATATGTCACTATTTCTGACCCTCATTAAGGATACGCAAATGGGCGTATTCATTACCCAGTAGAACCAGTTTCTAGCACAAGTTAATCCCACTGGTCCTTTTTTCTCTGAAACTCTTACAAAATCCCGATTGAGGACAGACATTGTGACTGATTAGGACTGGGCCTTAGGCTATTGTAGGACCGATTTTGTTTTGATTGTCATTTTGTATGTATTTTTTAGTTCTCTTTATATTTTTTACTAATAATAAAATATTTTGGGGTATTTTTTGAGTAAATTGTGCAATAGTTGTTGTAATCCAAAAATCTTAAATCGTTATTCCAAAATTGTTAAAACATTAGCCCAAAGTGTTAGACAAGGTTAGTTGCTCACAATGTTAAAACAAAAAATTGTTGGCCCGAAAGGTTAAACATTAACCCATAAAGTTAGCCAAAGATTAATATATATTATTCAAATGAATTTTATAATAGACAGTAATACTTGATTGCCAAGTGTTTGCAGAGCTGAGGGGGGATTTGAGGCATCTTACCTCATTTCTTCATCAGTTATTTAGTCCACGTCCATCAGTATCAGACCATCATTGTCCTGCCCAATCACATTTCTTTTTACTTTTTTATACCTAATGTATTCAATAAAACAATGGTAAAATTATTGAACATCAGGCCAAAATCAAGAATTTCACATTTCATTTACGTCATAATTGAATGAAGAATCAGAAAATCTAAATAAAATAATAAGGTAGACGGAATCAATGAAGTGTTGCTTAATTATTATTACGATAAAATTTATATTCATACAAGGATAAAAAATTACACAAAGCAAAAAAGGGTACTTGATGCTAATATGAATTATAGGATTAACTAAGGTCATCGATCTAAAAGAGAGATTCCAAGAAGTGGCAGATTTATTCACTCTATCAAAGCCGTATCTGGTATGTTATCCCAATGAACACAATAAACATTATCCAAATAAATTGGAAAAGCGGCTTGCGAACAGGCCTGTTTTCTAAAGGCGGGGCCAGGCCTTAAAATTTGTGCTTCTCTATTGGTCCTTGTGGTGAGGACAAGAATTTGATTTTGGGTTTCTTTCTAATCCTTTGAAGCAGTTGAGTTTCTTTCGCAATGGACTTAAAACCCTTGAAGCTGTTGAACCTTGCATACGAAATGTTGCCGAAAAGCATCACATTGATTATCAACTTACTGGACTATGTAACTCGGAGTCCCGGGAAGGTGAACCTATGAGTGGATATGAAAGCACAGACGATGGGGAACTGAGTTTTGATTATAGACAGAAGAAACAAGGGATTGATGATGATGGCACCTCACAAAATCCAATGGAGGTAAGTTTTGTGCATAAATGAGCATATGCCGCTTGTGCCATACTTCAGCCACACCTTGGAGCATGAGATGTAACTTGTACATTTTCAATGATGTTTTATATACTTGTACACTCTTTAGTATTTGTTCTTGACATTTTAATATCTGTTAAACATGGTCATCTCTGTATGTGGAATATTTGTAGCCACCTCTAATTGCCAACCATTTGGATAGCCATATCTGGCACACTTGTTGGTCACTAAAATAGCCTTCTTTGTTATGCTGTAGTAATTTTACTTTTATTATTATTTTTTTTCAGCTGGACCGGATAGATCTTCAAGGTTCAAATTTAGAAGATGCAGAGGTAAGACATGATCAACTTTCAGTGTTCTCCTTGAAACTTTTAATTATGAGAATCCATACGAAAAGAGATTCATCCACTGCTACTTATTAACACTGAAATTCCCTAGCTAATAGATGTTCCAAGGCTTACCTTAGCTTTTCATTTACTTATATGCTTTCATCTCTTCCCATGTATTTGATGTGCACCCACTAAACCAAAGCTGACCAAACAGAGTTTCTTGAACTTGGTACCTCTTTGAAACTCGCTATTGAATGACTTTCTAGGCTAATGCTGTTTAACCAAGGCTCATCAGGGATGGGTGATCCTTCATATTTAAATAGCTTTCTGTTGCAATTTTTGGAAGTGCTTAATTGCTGTTGTTGAACTTCTTATTTATATGCTTATGATTTTCTAATTTTCTCATTTCTAATCTTTTGTGGTTGGGCATGTGAATTAGTTCTGACTGATCCTTTGAAATATTATATTATCCTTGCTTTCTGCAGGTAAATAAGAATAACCATCAAGGGGAGCAGCTTTTTGGTAGGCAAACTAGAGTGAGCAGCTATTCAGCTCCTTTATTCCCAGAGAAGATTGATGCGTCTGAAAGGCCAAAGGAAACGCAACCCTCACGGAAGTTTTACTCTTATGTGCTACCTCCTCCGGCTGTAGATGCCAGGAATCCAATTTCAAGACCCTCTACATCTGTTTCTTATTCCAGTCCATTTCAAAGTTTGCAACAGCCATTGCCAGTGGACCATGGAAGACGTATTGGTGATGATAACATGTTGACATCTGCTTCTACCTCAAAGGCCCAGTCTATGATAAAAGATGGTAACAGTATCAATCCGTCCATCCAGTTACCTGCTCCTTCAGCTGGAAGATTTTCGCTCTCACAGCGGGATACTCATATCAGAAGTGATGGTGAAGTAGGGAAAAGGCAATCTTACTCTGGTCCATTACCACCAAGCAAGCAATTTTCTTTTAAGATTGCATCAAATAGCGGGCCCATTACCTCTACTGAGCTTCCTCAGCCACCCTTTCGTGTCCCGGTTTCTCAGCCAAGTTTGTCACCAAACGTATCTCGTAGTGCTTCACCTCCCCCTATATCTTCTCCAAAAATAAGTGAGCTTCATGAGCTTCCTAGGCCTCCTAGTGGTTTACCCTTCTCGAAGCCCGTTGTTTTTTCTGGTGGTATGACTGGACATTCAGCACCCTTATTTTCCAAGAATCAAGAGATTTCTCCACCATATAAAAGGGCTATGCTAACATCAACTTGCGCTCCGCTTCCACCCCCTCCTCTAGTTGTTCCCCGAAGTTTTTCCATACCCTCAAGCAACCAGAGGGAGATGGCATTACATGTGAACATCCCTTCAAGTAACAGTGAAACCTGAAGAAGCTTCTCTGCTAGTCGCACCCTTTTAGCTTTTAGATATCAAGCTGCTATCAAGAAGTAGCACCTCATGCAGACCCGTCAAAGGTACTTGAGTACCCTATTTGCTATTCATATCAAGTTATCTCTCCCTGCCCCTTCTAGAGGTCAAAATCTAGTAATTTGGGAAAGCTGATCTAGGAGATGGGCTTGAAGTTGCATGCATTTAACTTAAAACATTTCGCTTTTAATATAGTGCAGATGGAATGGAGACTGTTGGTGGTGTTGCCTTCTCATTCTTGATTCTTTGTTGATGCAGGTTGAGACTGATTTCCGGACTGTTTGCTGAGCATATTCGTTTAGGTTATTGCTTCCTTTTTGCTCTTGCTTGTCAGTAGAGGTCCGTAAATACGATCTACACGACCCAAATATTGTGGATTTTGGTCATCATATGTTTTATTTTTTTTCAATTTAGTTGATTGTGTCGCATCGTAGTGGTTTATATTTTTTAAATATCTAACATCTAACAAAACATGATGTTTGTTTTTAGTGTTGTTAATACTATATGACTGGGATGCTAATGACTTGTGATAATGGGTGGGTTTTTAGTTGACTTTGAAAGTAGGTCAAGGACCCATGAGATTAGTCGAGTCGAGTTGGTGCTTTGAGTTTGAGGCATGACAAATTGTTAATAATCCAAGCCAAAAGAACATTTATGGGGTTTGGTTGAGTGAGGATCTTGAAACCAATTAAGGATGTTTGGAGTGGCAAAAAAGAAACGTACGTTTAAAAGCGTATCATGTATAAATAATTACCCTAATAAATATGGGATACATTCCTTGTGTTCTATCCACCAAATGTGCATTTTTTTTCTTTATCTGCTGGCAACACCTACTACCTGTTTGTCTTGTACACATAGAAGATGGCTTCATATATCATCTTCTTCATCGTCTGTTAAGTGAGTTTTAAGCGTTTGGCTAGGTATCACCCATTTTTCGCTCTCCCATGCTGCATCTTTTTCTGGCATTTCGTATTCGTCTGCTTTCAACGACAGCTCAAACTCTGGGAGTTCTGGCAACACTTCCAGACCCCTGCATCATCATTCAATGTCAAAACCAATCTCTCATTTCATTATTATATATATATATAGGAAACAAATGAATGAATGATCCCTTACTTTTCTTGTTCCAAGAGGTATGCGTACATCTGGGACTTTTTAGCCGCAGTTTCAGGAATTTTCTTATTCAAATGCTTCATAGCACCCCATGCATAAGGAACCCTTCATAAGTTCAAGTAGACTGATTATATATATACATATATATTATATGCTAATAATACCCAAACATCATACAAAGTTAATGAATCTAACCTTGTTATGGGAACTGTTAGGCAAAAGTTTAAACAAGCCTTCTTGCTCTCTGTTAGAATTTCTTCTGCGGCAAGAAAACAACACACTGCACTGATGTGGCAGGATGGTTCGCTACCCTTGTCCATGATCAGACCATGGTAGTAGTATGCTGCAGCCTGATTGATACCAATATCTTACTTTAAAACATGTTGGAAATTGACTAATTTTTATGGATACACTTAAGCTAGTGTTGGTTTACCTTTGCTTCAAGGTACTTCCATTTGATAAATGATAGATGCTTCTTTCCATATCCATTAAGGTTTTCACAGGTTGACAAGCAGTAGTGAGCCTGTTTTATTGAGAATAGAACACATAAGTCGTTGAAGATGTCAAGTGTGGCAGGGAAAAGGTATTGATGATTGTTTAAGCCATGTACCTGGCTGAAATAGCTTAGTTGCTCACATGCCAGTCTTCTCTTAACAGATAGAGTAGCATTTCGACTTTCAACAGCCGAAGCAAGCTGCATTTCAGTTCCCTAAAAGGCATATAATAAGTTCATGGTCTTCCAAGAACAAGTAAAATAGGGTGTGATTCAGAACACACAGCCACCTATAACAATCTAAAAAGATATTGTCATTATGTTCCTTTTCTGCCATGGGATTCAACCATTTGTGGTTTTCACAAAAGGGGATTTCTTAAAAATGGACCAACAAACAGAGATTTCAAGATAATGCCTATATTAAACTTCATCTCCTTCATTTATAAGTGAATGAGCTGCTATCTGTTAAAAGAATGTACCTGCCCTAGTGCTTGAATATAAGCAGCCTCGAGTACACACTCCTGCAAATCTGCAGGCAACTTCGTCCTGATCATAAAATTAGATGTGAATTATAAGTTGGTATACCAATAGGAAGAATGTGTAGGGATCTATTGAGAAATCTTAACATACTTGATATGAGGTGGAATATGGACAAGAATTTCATTAAGACAGAACTGCAGATACCCAGCTGCCTTCACCAATAAATCGACAGCACAACGTATGTTATCTATGGTCAAAAGGGAAAATTGGAGATGAGTGGATGGGAGTGATGATTTGAGGTTGGATTAATGACGATACACACCTGTAGATTCAAGTGGTTGAGTAGAAACATTTTGATGAGGGATCAATTTTGAGTTTGCCTCCATCAATGTAAGCATAGCCATCATGTGAACAACAGAGAGTAATTCAAACCAAGAATCTGCAATACATATTTCCTGCATGATCAAAGTTAGAGATGGGATTACTATATATATGTACAAAATGAAGAGAGAATTGAAGTGAAGCAAAATGAATCCTCACTTGTCGTTGTCCATCATCTAAGCTTTTCCATTTGAATTCGATGAGTTGTTGCAAACCAAGTTCTGATGAGCAAGAAAGAAAGGAAATACGATGAGATAAATGAAAATGGGTTGAAGAATGGTTAGGTTAGGTTAGGTTAGGTTACCTTGATGAGTAAGGCCAACTAATAACGACAAGTAGTCCTCCGATGCACGTAGTAATTCAGGAACAGCTGATGCAACATCATCTGCAACAAGAAGAAGTTATATACAGATCCCTAAAAAGAAGTAGAAATAATTGAAAAGAAAAGAAGAAATCAAACCTGAAGCTTGTTGGTGTTGGGCAAGAAGAGCAATTTGATTGCGGAATGAGGTAAGACGAAGTGCAAGATCCTTAGGAACGAGGCCTTTAAGGGGGTTATTGATATTGGAGGGTGAAGGGATACGAATGGATGGAGCAAGTATTGTAACTAGAGGGATGCTTGTATGTTGCTTCTTGGTGGCTCCGACTCTGTAAACGGAAACAGCACACCCCATATCAATTCTTGTGCAGGGAAGTGATCTTGAAGAAGAAGATTATGAAGCTTGTTTTTGGTGGTAGAGTTCATTCCAAGTAGTAATAGTAATAGGAATAGTAATGGTAATGGTGATGGAGCTTAATAAAGACAGACACACACCCCACAACACCTGTAGTTGAATTAATAAACAAATATAGATCTCTTTTTGTGAAGTCGTTCATGTGCATGTGCATGTACATGGGTTCCTGTGGTGGATGACCGCAGATTAAGCTTTAAATCATTATTAAAACAATCAAATCTTTCTTCAACTGCTGTCCTCTCCAATTTATGTGCCAACTTTTTAGAATTCCAAATATTGGGTGGGAAAAGCAAAGTCATCAGTTTGTTTTACAAGCAATTACTAGTTTCCAGTAGCATCAAAAATCACGTACAAAAATAATGGTTTCTTGGTTCCAAACTCCGAGGTATTATATGAGGAGGGATGTTCACACCACGACACGATTGCATTCTTTTTGGCAACAAGATCACCATACATTTACAACCCACCTTTTTCTTTTTCTTCTTCTTTCTTATCAAAACACTCCTCCTACTCCTAGTCGTAGTCGTACTAAACAAAAACAAGAGTGACCAAATATTCAACTCAACCTACAATCATTACAATTACATCAAACAATTCTTCTCTTCATTCCATCGTCTTCACAAATCGTCCCTTTACTCGTTTTCTGGTATCCGCTCTTGCCTTTCGTGACTCGTAACGGATGCATTTCTCGTACCTGTACCATTCCTTACAAGGTTATTTGAAACCAAAACTATATCTATATACTCACCATCATTACGGATAGCATGTATGTATACCTTCGCGTTTTCTTCTTTTCCTTGTAACGTAACATTGCGTTACATCTGTTCTGGGCAAGCTGCTGGGCGTCCACTTTGCTTGCTGCTGCTATTTCCATTCCTTGCTCACCATCCATGCTCCAATTACTTATCTTGTTTTCCATCATTTGTCTTTCTGACGGTGTTCTCTTGTCACACTCCAATGTTGATCTGCAACCAGATATCTGCTTCCGCACATACCATCAACCAACCACAATATCAACATCATTATGATGCCACAACAATAATTGAACCAAGTGTTGAGTGATGTTATCCTTGCTATCTGAGTAAAACCTTTTATGAATTCCCTCTTAAAAGAAGCTGCCATTTCCATTGGATGTAAGGCCTAAATTTGCCCACTTCTGCGGAGGGGCACTTTGTGTGACCCATGTGGACTAATTTGGTCAAAGGTGTTGGATACAAAAAAGAAAACCAGGATAAGAGGAATGCAATGTTTTCTACTTCTCCAACACTTTCCATTTCATACAGTAAGCAGTAACACCCACGTTATCTGAATGCAACCCTCTTAAATTTTAGAGAACAACGTCAACATACCAGAAAGAAAGAAACGGACAAAAAAGGATTTGAGACTTAACAAAATTTTATGAGTTCTCGATCATTCATGGAAAAGGCATTCCCCTGCTCCCCAAAAAGAAAAGTCCAACCCATTTGCAGATTTACAGCTGCGCAACTCCATCATAAGGTACAAACCAATGGCATTCATTTCATACTATGTCACAAGTGGGATTCTGACCCGCTTTAATTGTTAATGAAAAACAATTGTATAGCTTGGGTGGTAAATGCAAGTAGATCAAGGAAACACCAAACAGTACGAGATGCTTACATTTTGTGAGGGGTTGGTGGTAAAAGATATGTTTATGGCATCCATTTCTTTCAAGACTTCCATTGTTGTGAAAGAGGCATCCTCAACAAGGTCGGTACAGTTGTTTACCGCAAAGCCAGGATTATCACATCCTGCCTCAGAAGATCTTGATCTTCCTAGATTAAAATCCCATATCTGCAAGGTTCCAAAACGGTAAGAAATATAGAAATATATATATATATATATATATATATATATATATATATATACAAGTGTTTCTAGTTACATGGTACTTCATGCTACCACTTTAACCTTCTTATACCCCCACAATATAGTGGCAACAATCATGTGCATTGGGGTTTCCATGGACTTGATGCTTTCCTTTAAGCCTAACAACATAACACATACATCATGATACATCTTAAAAGCTCTAACAAGACCTTACTAATTTTGCATCGAATTATTTGATCTTGTATAAGATGAAGGTCAGATAAATACGATGATGACAGTTGGTGGAAGCTTATGTATCTTGAAAGCAATAAACAAAGAACAACCATTGTCACGCATGGGCATCATATGTAACAGATATTGTTGGGTGGCAACTTAAAAGCTAAAAACAAGTAATTAAGCATGGGAGATTGGTGGATCGTTTTATAAAGAAGAAGAAGAATAGCAATAGGCGTATGTTGCTATCAAGTGTAATGAAGGTATTTATTTCCAACCTGACTAGTTTGGCGTTTAGGGCTATAGCTCCACATGTTGCTAAATTCAGTAATAGAGCCATTATTGGGTTTTGAGTTGGAGGGATTGTGGGGCGTCATGAGCAAATACGTTAAAGGAGTTTGTTGATGCAACAAATCCTTATCATCGTGTTCTTCATACTCAAACCCTTGTGAAATCTCGGGCGGACCGCATCCAGTGGGTGTTTGAGGCCTCAATTCAGGTCCGTCGGCATCAGATCCTTGATTTGCCAGCTCCAGCAACTGTTGGTACAAGAGTTTATTATGCACTCCAGAAGGCGAAGCTGATGATTTCCAGTCGACAGAGGGAACCTCGTCATAAGGAGGAGGAGGAGGAGGTTTGTCATGGGAATGGTGGAAGTTGTTGGATTTAGCGTTAGAAGAGGAGGGGTGGAGTTTGAGAGAGAATCCCCAGATGGAGGCGAGTTGAAGAGGGGAAGGACAACCGGAGAAGTCATGGATGGGAAAGCGGGTGTGGTAGGTGGAAAGGGAGGAGTCGGCGTGGAAATCATTGTCGCAAGAGGTGCAGAGGAGGAGATTGTCAGTGGAACAGGCGACGGAGACGGCATCGGAAGCGCAGTTGTCACAGATCTGGGAACGGAAGTGCTTGAGGGAAAGAGCATTAGCAGAGTGAACGGTGGTATCACAGAACAAACAGAGCTTAGCGGAGTCAGCTTTACAATACAAGACTGCAGATCTGTGATTACAGAAATCACAGAGAGAGGAGGACATGGTGTGAGGTTGGAGTTGGAGTTGGAGTTGGAGTTGGAAGAGGAAGGTTGAATACAGAAGAAAGATAAAAAAATAATATCAAGAAAGAGGGGAGGAGGAGGAGATATTTATTTACTTTGCGTTGTCAACGTTCCTTTGAATTGAATACCATTTATTTTCAAAACTAATTAAACACAAAACTTACTTACTACTAACTACTAACTACTAACTAGTTACTACTATTAGTGTAATAATACTCTATCTACAATACATTCATCTTAATCTTAATCTTAATCTTAATCTTAATCTTAATCTTAATCTTAATCTTTATTTTCTTCTTAATAAAATTGAATTTGTTTTATATCTCTTGGTATCTTAATACAAGTTGATATTATTAAGACAACAATGACTCTACGTTTCAAATATCATATGTTTGTTGTCAATTGATGATGACACCGACCCGACCCGTCCTTGATAACCCAACTTTGCTAACAAACACAATCATCAATTCAATTCTTAATATCTTATCCTTTCTATTCGAATCATCTTTTCATAAAAGCTCATGTATTTTCTCTCCGTTTTATAAACTATATCCCCTCTCCTTCAATCAAATGTGTTGTACGTTACACACTCTCACAATTTCAAATCATATATAATAGGGCATGTATGTATGTTCAAACTCGTTAAGTTTTGAAGATAAGGCATGTGTAAATTGTTGATGATATGATAAATAAGATGTCTTCATACCCGCTCAACACGATTGTGGGGACGATAAACATGACTTTCTTTAACAATTTGATGGACTATAATAATAATGTTACAAGTTGATAAATGTTTCGGTTTCAAATAAATATATTTGTGATTGTGAGGTTATAGTCATGGTCATATGCTCTTTGCATATTAATATTAATATTAATATTAATATGATTAGCCTTTTCACTCTTTTTCATTTCAAGATACACATAACACAAACATTAGCAATATAAAGCTAGCAGATTAAACACTTTTTGAAAAACATTACGTATTCAGTAACAAAAAGAGAGTTTTAAATTTGAAATATATTGATTGGGAAAACCTTTTGTGGATGTGGCAGTCACGTGTTTGTATCATCATTATTAACATCATTGATTGTTTAGATAACTTTTTTATTCATCATATATATATATGTATATATATTGAAGCAAAATTCTAAATGACGTGAGATCATATGTGGTCATAATGTCAAGCCTTTAAAATGTGACTTATGATGACAAATATGTATATCGCATATGAGTTGGTTCCTATGAGAAAAGTAAAAAAAATATTATTCACCTTTAAATCAATCATAATTGAAGATCAACACTTAGTGTATTGAGATGCACTAGATCAATTTTCTTGATAAGCGTAATTCACGAGATGATGGTGAGATTAAAAATGATCAAGAGTCCATATCTTTTTTTACGCTTCTCACATTAACTATTTATTCTTACGTAATCCTTTGTCTATCACGTATACAGTTATATATTTAGACGCATATGTTTTATAGTACAATTCAATGATATTAAAAAATTTAAACTAAATTACGTATTAAAAGTTAGTTAAAAAAAACATGACACTACACACACACACATACTATATTATAAAGCATATGGGTAAATTGTTTAAAAACCATTTTAATGCATCAAGTATGGTTTAATTATCCATATTACTTAAAATTCAAGATTACAAGTAAATATAATTAGAATAATTATTAAGTTATAACATAATAATTAATTATTATATTGATTAAAAATCATATTTTAAATATAAAATAAATTAATTCCCGAAGTTGAGCATAAATCTAAAAAGATTAAAGAGACTCATTTAAGAACAAGAAAATGACATCGTGATTTGGATTGAATCTCGATGAAACAACCCATCAATGAGAAGTTAATTGGATAAGTTTAATGAATTCTTTTTTTATATTATACGTTACAAGGAAAAGAAAGCATAAAGCTAAATTAAATTATAATGAGAAAAGGAACTCGAAATTATCTTTATAATTAAAGTAAATAATTTAATTATTAGACCTAAATTAGATTATACTAAAAACTTGAAAAGTAATAATGTTATAAAAAAACGAGAACTTTTAAATTGTTGATGTAATATTAATATTGAAAGAAATTTTTATAGGTCTTTAGATTTATATTTTATTCAAATATAAAAAAATGATGGTTTTAAAAAAATATATCATAAAACAAAATATTAAAATCAAGATGTATTTTACTTTATCGTATAAAACGTTTCTAATATGTTAAAATAAGAGTTATTGAAAATAAGTAGAAATTGTAATTGGAATTTAGATTTTTTTTTTTTGGTATGGATACGAATATACGATAGGTGAGGCGGGTGAGTGTGGTTGGGTTGGACGGGCCTTGATGGGCTCAAACGGATGGATGGATGGATTTAGATTTAGATGTCTGAAAAGTGAAAACCCTACCCCTTTTTCCTAATAATAACAATAATAATACCCATAAATTCATATCCCACAAATTCTAGACATGGCGATCTTCACGATGATGAATTCTCTAGCAGCACTCCTCCTCTTCCTGATCTCATCTTCTTCGCTGATTGCCGCCTCCGATTCTCCATTCATCCTAGCTCACAAGAAAGCTACGCTCAATAGGCTCAAATCCGGCGCCGAAAAACTCTCCGTTTCAATTGACATTTATAACCAAGGATCTGCGTACGTACCTCCTCCTTTTTCTACCTCCATCTCTAATTGTCTGCCTCTTCCGATCCATATTTTTTATATGTTTGCTCTCTTTCTTATATATGGATCTGAATAGATCCATATAATTGTCTATCATCTCTGCCCTATAATTACTTGTCGATTGGGTTCGGTCTTCATGTTGCGATCTGAAATTAATTGGACGATATTATCTCCTAAGTTATCAGTAATCGTCTGCGGCTTGTAGATCACTTGCAAGAGTGGTTAATTTTGCAACAACATTTCTGCTTTAATTGTTCGTCAATTTGTGTAGAAAAGATTGTTAATTTATTGCTACTACTGCGTGGGGTCAATCATCTCGCATGATCACTGATTTCAAATACATGCAAGTAGGATGACCTTGTAAAACTAGGAGGCTCTGATCAATTGGATCACCAAAACAAGAAATTGATTTATGTTTGACCTTTGATCATCAACAAGCTGTTTTTGTTTTTTTTTTCCTAAAATATTTTTGGAAATAAGATGAAATAAGTGTGTATTTCCTCTTAAACCCCAGGAATACTTGCACTCTTAGAATCCATGATGAAACCTACATAAAAAAATAACATTTCCTGCAGTTATGGTAGGATCTACAAGAAGCTAAAGCTCTTTGTAATTCAAATAACTCCAACTATGAACTCATTGATATCAACTAATTAGTGAAGTACATATAAACAAGTCAATTATTTAATTCTCTGCACCATTGACTGTAAGCAGTTTTTTTTTGCAAGGAACTGCAGTTTTATAGTTTGATTATGTAACTTGTGACAAATCTATCAAATCTTTTCTTGCATAATCTCATACTTTCAACATCTTTTGCATTTCAGGACTGCATATGATGTTAGTCTCAACGATGATGGCTGGTCTTCTGATATATTCAGTATCATTTCGGGGAACACTTCAACCTCCTGGGAAAGGCTTGATGCGTATGTATCAAAATCTAACATGCCTACACCTGATAATAAAATTCTGCAGTTAAATTGATTCTCACAATGATTACTTGTACTTTCTTCAGTGGTGCTCTTTTATCTCACTCTTTTGAGTTGGAATCAAACGTGAAAACAGTGTTCTATAGCTCACCAGCTGTTATTACATTCCGTGTCCCCACAAAGGCTGCCCTACAGGTTGGATTTACTGAATAACTGAAGTGATTTATTTATGTTATGTGTTTAGGCTTACAGTCCTTTGCTTTTGCAGGAGGCATATTCAACCCCACTTCTGCCTCTCGAAATCCTTTCAGACAAGCCTCGGGAGAGTACACTTGATCTTGTATGTCTTTTTACTGTCAGAAACAACTTGATAAATTGATTTAGAAAAGGAACTCGATGGAAAGTCTTTATAGATATGTTTGCATTTCTTAACTGATAATGAATTGCTTTGTTCTTGTTGTGCATGGATTTGTGCTTGATGGCTGCTACCCTTACAGGCTAAGGTATGAATTAGTCTTGTAATCAGTGCATTTACTTGTATGATATCATTTTGGTGATGTGGTTGTAGAAGCTGTATGACATCCCAATTTGGGCTGATTCTCCATGTTTTGGGTTGGGTGGAATTTTAGGTAGTTTTGGTAGATGTAGGCATAACTAAATTCATTTAAATCACACAGTTGTGTATCTCAATTTCAACATATTGATTTGTTGGGCAAATTTGTTGTTGTTAATCTATCGTAAATCTGAGACATTAAAACTATTTGTGTTTGCTGTGCAGAGGGCATTGGCAAAGTATGGATCCTTAATATCTGTGATCTCAATCGTGGTTTTATTTGTGTACCTGGTAGCAACTCCATCCAAGTCGGGTGCTGCAAAGGGAAGCAAGAAGAAGCGTTGATGATTAGTGAGTCTCTGTGATGTAATTTGTAGAGACCAACCCCACCTTCTTGTGTTGCGACGGGACTTTTTTTTTTTGTAAAATGGTTTTAATGAGATATTCGGTGGTAGTTGTTTTAATATCTGTGAAAGGGTTGATTATGAACTACGATGTTAGATTTTGAGTTTAGATGTGTTGCGGTAATACATGAAATGGTTTATTTTGTGTTTAAATAAATTCCCTCCTAGAATTTAGTTATGAAAATGCATTTTTGTTTGAATATTTGATGAGATTATGAAGTTTTGGTTATGGGTTAAAAAGGAAGTCAAATCCAGGGGTTGTAATGTACAGAACTCCATCCGAGCAGAGCCATATATAACGTGTCAATACGATATGCAAGTAAAGCTAATTTGTAATAACTTGGGATTGTTTAGGTCCATTTACTACTATTGCAGTTGCAGGCATCTTTTTGAGTGGAGGAGGAGGAGGAGCCATATTCAACAATAATTGGAAGAAGAAAGATGAAACTTGATTACTAATAATATCCATAAACAAAACAAAAGCCGCATAGCTTAATTAATGGAACAAAAGAAGAAACGTGTTAAGGAAATCGTGGGGCGGTGGAGACACCGTTGAGGAGATGTTTTGACGCTTTCTCGTGGTTGACAAAACCCATGAACCAGAAATCTTGAGAATCAATTGTGGAGATCTGAATATATTTGTCTATTTGTTTTTTACCTGTCACCGTAACTGGGTTCACCGTGGCTATCTTCTCCAATGGGACGATGACTTTGTAATAGATCCAAGACTCCATGCCGTTGGGTTGGATGGAAGACAAGGGACGATCGCTACAGAAGGCGACATGAATATTGGAGAGGTACAGGGTTCCGGCGACAGGTCCGGTGGATGTAGACAAGTAACAGGCAAAAGTCCTGTTCAGTTTCTCGTTGGGGTAAACCGTGAAGTTCTGCCGGTATAGAGATTCGAATCCACCTTCGGTTAATGCTTTTGCCGTCAAATTCATTTTCCCCCATGCCGATCCAGTCACAGATGGACCCGTTTTCACTAAATCAAATCCAAATCCAAATCCAAATCCAGATCCAATCAGATCAAATCAAATCCCTAACATAAGATATATATACACACACACGCATACATATAATAATTAGAGAAAGAAAATGGAAAAAGGAGGAGTTACGATTGGTCCAGATGTTTGTAGCGGTGGTCTCTGCCTTGTTGCCCCATGTATTAAGCTTCTTACGAACATTATCCAGGTTGTGGTTGTTGTTGGGAGGTGGAGGTGGAGGTGGAGGAGCGCCATATTGAACGTAGGGGTTGGAAGGCGGCATAGGTGTTCCCATGACGTGAGTGCCCGGATAATTGGGCGGCTGATCGGAGGAAGAAGGAGGAGGTTGTGGATTCATGGAAGAAATCGGAAATGATTCTCTTGATGAATATCATTATCAATGTCCATGGAATAATAGTAAAGATTGGTCATATGGTTTACATAAAATCACAGTTTCCGTCCCCAAATCAAAATAATTATAAGAAACGTCCATGTGGTTTATATTTTTACGCATCTTTGGTCCCTCTATCCTAACACCTTTAAAAGAATCTATTAAATAAGTTAACTTTAAGGACATATAGTGTGATTTCGTGTAAACCACAGGGACCAATCATGTAATTTACTCTTTCTATAAAATAGATATTTGAATGGATTAACATATTCTAAAGAATTGAAATCTAACCTCATAGTGTTAACTGTTAAGCATTAGTGACTTTGGGAAGTTTATCATTAAAAAAAAATACATACATATGCATAGTCTAGTTTATGTGATGAAAGAATGTAATTCGAAAGTACCTTCATTGGATATATGAGTTTCATGACCATCATTAGTCTAGTCAAATCCTCTTCTTCAACACTACAACAGTTTTGATATTTGAATGGATTACGGTTTCTAAGAAATTGCAACACTACTACAGTTTTGATCCCCTAGCCATTCGTACATGCAGACGGGTATACTATTTGGTCGAAAGAAATTGCAAATCATAATGATAAAATGATGCATTTAAATAGAAACATTTAAAAAAAAAAAAAATGATCCAAGTATTAGTTGTGTACTCGGAATGGGAGATGGGTCCCATGAAAAAAAGAAAAAAAAAAAAAAAAAAAAAAACCAAAGCATCATCGTCCCCTTCACTTATCTCCTGCATGTATGCCTCCTCTCCTGGTGTTTTGTGTTATTTATTTCCTGAAAGTGTGATTAAGTGGAAGATTCTGGAGGTGGTTGGTTGATGGTAGAAATAATCTCCTCAGGCTCAGAGCTTTTCCAACACCTGTACTTGCTCTTCATTACCCACCTCAACCCCATAACCATCATCTTTGCCTTCCATTCGTCATCCTCCTCATTGGCCATTTCCTCACAATCCCCTATGTTCTTTCATCAATGCTTTAAACTTTTCTTTAATCTTAGTGATACCATGAATGCACTATGTACAAATGTCACACCCTGTATTCACCAAATCTTTGCTAAATATAGGAAAAACCTTTTCCCTAGAACACCCAATTGCCGATCGATAAGAGTTGCCCGAAAAAGAAGCCCTAACCCTAAAAACTGAACTGAATGGAGAGAAACGAGGCCTGTGCTTTGAGGGCATTTGCTGGTTTCGATATCGGACTCGGGATCAATTTTGGTGGAGTCCAGGACAACACCTACAAAACCAAGAAACCTGCTGCTGCTGCTGCTGCTGCTGCTACTGCTACTGCTACTGACAGGGATCTGGTCGCTGCTGCTCGTTTCGACTTCCTTAAGAAGAAACGGATGCCCAGGTTCAGGCGTGGTGCTTCCGCCGCACTCCGCTCCTTTCGTCCCTTCACCACTCCTCTCTCCTCAACTGTATCTTCCTCATCTTTTGGTCTTTATCTCACCTGCTTGTGGTTTCTGACTCACCTTATGCTATCTGGATCTGATAATGTGGACCTTGTCTGTTTCATTTTATGCCCTTTGTCTTTCATGCTATAAAGCTTCCTCTTTTTTCCCCTTTCTGTCCACTATTTGCCACTAATTTTCTTATCCAGCATTGCAAATAACCAAAAATTATATTTCACACCAGTCATGGACATGATATAACAAATAAATCATCAATCATCCTAAGCAAAACAAAGCCTATTGTCAAATGTGCCCTACTACAACTTCAAACCAAGAAACAACTTGAAGAAAAGAGAGTTAACCAACAAGAACCAGTTGGGTTTTGAGCACCAACCCAACAGTTTCCTATTTTACCATTTTTGAGGGCTTTCCCCCCAGTGTATACCCCTTTAAGATCTATCATTTTGTAATCTATCATGGTAGCCTTTTTTGTATTCTCAAGACCACTAAAATTATTAACACTAGTTTCTTTTCCAAGTAGATGGAGTTGCTTTGCCTAATCCACTTATCTCCCTCATCCAGCAGTTTCTTGCGAGCCCTGATCAGAGCAATAGGAACCTTTTAGTAATGGGAGCTGGACCTTTTCGTTATCCCTGCCCCTGAGTGGTGTGTGGCTAAAAAACCTTAAATTGATCACAAATGGTATAAAAGGAAATTCACTTTTATAGTTTGTAGTTTCTTATTTTGCAAGTGGGTGTAGTATATCCTTATTCGTCCTGCTTTGACACAAGATCAACTGGATAAAAAAAATGCCCACATGTTGTTCGATCAGAAAGGGCAGTGCACAGTTGGTCCAGTTGGTCAGCTTTAGTTTGTTTAAGTTGGAAAATTGAACCCTATGCGTTCAAGATTAAAGAGAATAGCACTGTATTAGAGTCATATCAACTGTCATATAAAATGATAATATTTTTCCTCTTCTGTATGTTCTATAGATAAAAAGTTGTCATGTCAAATTTGAAGTTGTAAATATTAGTTTCACGAAAGTTCCAAGGGAAAAGAAGCAAATGAGCTCAAATTTGGCATAAAACCTCTATTATGATGTTCTGCTGTTTCATCAAACTGGTAATTTGTTTTATTAATTTTATGGTTTAATCTGTCTTCAACACATTGGTAAGGATACACATATATAAATTGCGTTCGTAATTTTTGTGACAATTAGTGTTGTTACAGGAGTGGCTTTTTGTTAGTGGCTATCAATACTTGCTGTGATTTGTGTTCTGAAATTTGGCTGCTCAATTTGCTGGCAAATTCTGATCTAACATAAGTTTACATACATAAGTAGAAATTGGTGCTCCATTGTTTTATGTGATTGTCTTACGACACAATCTTGATATTTCATACTATTTATAATGGATTTTGGTATCACAATGTGATTCAACCACCTGTATAGTCATTGCTGCAAAGTTGTAGCTTAATTCAAGGTTTTTTGCTTGCATCTTTATTTTTTCCATGCAAGTTTCCAAGCGTATGCTTCTATACGTAGTAATGTGTCTCATGTTGCCTCTTGTGATTATGTTTCTATTTTGAACATATATGTGGTCTATATTCCGTGCACAAAGTACATCTGACCTGTGTTTCTCTTTATTAGATTGTTGATCAGGGAAGGCTGACATTTCTCTTCAGCAAGAAGCTGCAAAAAAGTGACGTAGGTGTGCTTAAAAGAATTGTTCTGCCAAAGGTTGGTTTTCATTTGATTCATAATCTTTAAAATATGTATTGACTAACGGATATTTTGTACAAGGAAATTTACAGAAACTGTCATCCCAAACTGCGCTTGCATTTTAGTCATTTGACTCCTAATTTGGCACTTTTCGTCCTAAACTTTAAAAATTGGTCATTTTCTCAGCCAATGTAGGCAGTTCCATTACCTGAGGCATGTACCATGAAGGTGTTATTATTTTGATGGTACTAACATGTTTTCTTTTACTTTGATAAATACTCTATTTTTGGTGTGCTTTGCTCCAGAAACCAGCAGAAACACACCTACCTGCTCTGATTGCCAAGGAAGGTATCATTTTGGAGATGGATGACATGGATGGCATGCATGTGTGGTGTTTCAAGTTTAGGTTAGTTAAGCATCTAGAAGTCTCAACTATGCCATTTCAAGGAAGGAAGAAATTTTGAAAAATGAAACAAAAAACATGATGACACCAATCATTCTTATGAAATATGCTCACTTCATTTATTCAGTTATATTCCATTGGAAATTTTCTTTCTTTAAATATGCAAGCAACTCATCCTTGAACAGGTTCTGGCCAAATAACAACAGCCGCATGTATGTCCTTGAGGGCACTGGTATGTCCCTCATAGGCCTCACTGTTGTCTGTATATCAAAATCAGAAGTGTACTTGGTCCATACTAAGATGCAGATTCTTGATTTCTTTTCTCAGGGGAATTTGCCGAGGAACATGAACTGCAACTAGGTGATTATATAATGTTGTATCGAGATTCAGTGAATCTCAACTATGTAAGTATGCTATGTTATCCCAACCAAACGAAACATGTTTTCAGTCCATTTGAGAAATTCTTGTAAAAGAAGTGTTGCTGATTTTGAATCAGGTCATACAGGCTGTAAAAGCTTATGAAGTTGAGGAATATGCAAAGAAAGAAGTGAAAGCAAACCTTGGTAGTCAGGGGAAATCTGGGAAACCACAGCCAAATAATGGTGTTTTAATGAATCAGAACTGGCCGTGGGGTGGTCTTGAGGTGGAGGTGTTGAACCCCACTAACTATCCTATGAATGCTTCGACCGTGGAGGATCAGATGGGTATGACTTTCATATACGATACCAGCTATTCCAATGACACTCTGACTCCACTTGATTTCTTGGGTGGATTCATGACAAGCTACCCAACAGTGCAGCCAAACTTTGCCATTGAGAATTTGTCTATTGACGATCTCTACAAGATCTAGTTGTAGCATGTCATCATCATCATGCTACATCTTATGTTGTGAGTAATAGTATCTGTAATGCATCAAGTACAAAATAAGCACATGAGTGAAAAACTCCGTAAATGTTGCTTTTGTGTCTGTAGTGCTTTCTTTTGGATATCCATCCTACTCGACTTGTGGTCTCACAATCCCTGTACAAGTCTTTTGGAAAATGATTCAAGTAATCAAATCACTAGTACTTGCATCATGTGCTACTTTCCATATCTAAATGAATGACTATGAGCCTTGCAATTGTGTTAGACCATCGTTTTGCTAGAGTTAAAAGTTCCCAAAGGACCTCATAGTTATGATGACGCAGGAATACTACAAGTTAAGTAATGGGAGTGATCTACACAATATTTCTTTAGATTAAGCTCTGTAGAAATTAACACAAAAATTATTTGGCAACTACACAAGCCTAAGATGAGAAGTATCATTGAGTCTTTTAATCCGCCAACCCATTTTCCCTGAGTGTTGCAACATTGTGACTGAGGAATCTTGTATGCAAATCTTGTTGGACATGATTGGACTACAACCAAGGATACCTGTAACCACACACTTGATAGGTATGGAGTGGCTGAATATACCTATACAGTTATTACTAGATGATGGAGAAACCAATGGCAATGGAGGAGCTGTTGGTTTAACGTTATTGCTTTTCACACTACTCAATAAGATTTCAGGATGTTGATCATGTTGCTTGCTATAATTGGTAGGCACCCGAGGGGACATCTCGTCGTCAGCCTCTTGATCTCCTCCCCCTCCGTCCGTGCGCACCATTTCTAGTCGACTCTTGCTCGACTTTCTTTGTGAAATCCTAATTGTCTTGGCGGCCTTGTAGCAATTGGAGGAAGAGAATCACTGATGGACGACGACTTTTGAGGGCGGACTGTTGCATTTAAGAATTGGATTATTCGGAATTCTACTTGCCTCAGTGTTTCATCAGATGGAGCACAAAAATCAAAAACCAGGTTGGAATCTTTCCATTAAGCTTAAAGCAGAAGGGGAAGAAACATCTGATTGTTGGCACCCTTCCCAAACTCCCTGACTCATCTCCTATAATGCATTTGAGGCTTCTATCATCTGCTCTGGAGAATTCATCTCTTGCAATCATATATATATATATATATATATATATATATATATATATATATATATATGATTGCAAGNACAAGCAGTCCATACACCATGCTATCAATTTTGTCTAGCCAACCTGAAGAGAATTTGACTCAGCAAACTCAGTTAGACATTTTATCAGAAGATGTAAAGGAAGAGTTTTTTTCCCGAATCAGGAGCATTGAAACACACTCTAGTTAAGCAGTAATGTTTTTATGTCTATGCTTCTTTACTCCTTTCTTATGTGAGGATAAAATTTCAAACTAATTTCCTAGCTCCAAACTAGATTTTCCAAAATACTCACATCCCAGAGCTTTAGAGTATTTATTTGTGCCAAAAGAAAGTCTCCTGTTTGAAGATTTAGCAATAAGATAAATGTAACGTCTCTGTAGTACCCTTCATTAGTTCATTAGTCTTTTACACGATCCAAAGCTATGCATGTTGGGAGTATCCTCTATGCATCCTTCACATATAGTTTCAAATATGCCCAGAAAGCTAAACGCACTAACTTTTCCATAATATCCTTTTTAATACATCCCTAGCATCCTTGGTAATGGTAACAAGTGATTTGGAGAGAACCATGAAGATGCTCCAAGTTGCCCAATTCGTACCCGAAGATGTCGTGTAATGCCCAATCCTCCGCGCGCGCGTGTGTGTTGGGCCTTCCACTCAAGACCCCCACCATGAGTCCACTAACATATTCAAACCCCACTACTAGAGAAAGCCTTATAAGCTTCTCTAGAAATAAACTCTCTACCAATGTGAAATGGAAGGTTAACTTCCAACCTACAAATTTCCAACAATATCTTGTTTCTTTTGCTTACTATTATGGCAATGACCACACCTACGTACCCATTTGGGGTTAAGACCCCCTATCATTTTTCTATCAGACCTTCGCATTCCCGATCCTTTTGCTCACACCACCCGCTCAATCTTGCCTCATTCGGTGGATCCCTTCAGGCTCCAACTTCAGGCAGGAGAATAGGTCTGAGGGTTGTTTGTAATGTACAAAACCTACATGTTCTCACCAGGAATGAACCCGAAAGTCAAGCTTCACAAGGATCAATCAAACAGTTATCATGTGTGATGAAGTTTGGTGGATCATCTTTGGCCTCGGCAGAAAGGATGAAACAAGTCGCTCATCTTATCCTCAGCTTCCYACAAGAGACTCCTGTCATTGTCCTCTCTGCTATGGGCAAGACCACCAACAATCTTTTAATGGTTTGTGTTGCTCCATGTTTCTTTATATGTTATGAGGTTTTTCTTTAACAAGGTTTCAACTTTAAATTTGGGTTGTATGATATAGGCTGGAGAGAAGGCTGCAAGTTGTGTTTCCCCTGTGTCTGAACTTGATGAATTGAGCTTTGTGAAAGAACTACACCATAGGTGAAAATCTTGATTTCAAGTAGCTTTTAAAGTTTGTAGACATTCGTTTTTGTTTATACTCTGATTGGCTATCAATTTATATGCTCAGGACAGTGGATGAGCTTGGATTAGACAAAACACTCATTACAGGTAAGTTTATTGTAAGGAAATGTTGCAAGTTATGTTACACTGATTTTAACTTCTTCTCTTACACTTTGTCTTTCTTGCAGACCACCTAGAAAAATTAGAGCGACTTCTGAACGGGATTGCAGTACTAAAAGAGTTCACGCCTCGTGCAAAAGACTACCTAGTCTCATTTGGAGAGTGCATGTCCACAAKAATATTTTCTGCATRCTTGAATAAAATCGGCGTCAAAGCGCGCCAWGTATGTGATTTTTTCATCACTTTTAATATGCTCAAAGTTTTCAAGCACTGGTGATGTCTTCTTTGTCATTTGCTGCCTAATATTTGTATGAAGCTTGTAATCCATGTGGAATTCTAAATTGTAGATATCTACTTGCCACCATTTTCTTGCCCCAAATTTCATTTGATTCAGATTTACTTCCCCAAATGAAAGCTTGGCAGCTTCTGTTGCTTCCATCTTGTTCTTTTCTTTATATTAGTAAACAACTCGGTAGTACAAGTGCATGTTGATGAAGATTATTATCTGATAACAATTTACCTTTTAGTTAAGGGTTTTTGGTTGGTTTTCCATTAAATCTTTGTATGGATAAAGTTGTCTATGTTTTTAATAGATAGAAGGAGCGTGTTTTTAATTGGGAGGGTCTTTTCTATAATAGAGATGGAAATGCTTTCGTTTGGGAGGGTTTTTGAGGGTATTTTCTATAATAGAGATGGAAATGTTTTCGTTTGGGAGGGTTTTTYCATAGATRGAAGGAACGTGTTTTTAATTGTGAGGGACGGGTTTGGGAAAACTTGGTTTTCTGCATAAAGCTCTCTCCTRAAAGCTTTCTGAATAAGTCACTTTTTATATCGTTAAGTCACTACCAAATAACATGTATAGCTGACTGAATAAGCTGTGAGTCCCAATAAGCTGCTAACAAACAGGCGCTTATTCTTGTATTAATAATTGTTTTGTCAATTGCATGAGTGTGCATATCAAGGAACATTGATTGCTGACACATGTTTTTTTGTTAACATCTGAAGTATAGAAGAAGAGAAGAAAGGAAAATCTAGAGGCTACTTAAACCAGTCTTTTCATTTCAATTTTTTTGATTGGCGAACCGTCTTTGAGGAAACTTGAAACCATGAACTCTGTATTTCTCTCTGAGGCTTCTCAAATAAGTCCTTTAAGTTATGTTTGTATAAGTTTTGGTTGATTTAAAACCTCCATCTAATCTTCTTTTTTGAACTTAAAAAGTACAAAGGAATTATAATGAAAACCTTACTCAAACCACTTCGTTTCTTGATTGGCCAAAACATGTTAACTATATGCCTTTGGAGACTTTGAACCATAACTTCAGGGTTTCTCTCTGAGCCTACTGCTTTAATAACTTCTACTACTTATGTTGGTCAAGGGTTCATTCTAAAGAAACTTCTACTACTTATGTTGGTCAAGGGTTCATTCTAAAGAAACTTCT